ACACACACACACACACACACACCCCTAGGCTGCTGAATCCCGAATTCTCCATTACAATAATCTCTTGCTGCATTTTCTTCCCCCCCCCTCCCCATCACCAACAACCCTGACAGCCTTTCTCTTCTAGGAAGTTATAGATTCAGATTTTAAGGTTATGCACATGGCAGAAAATAGAAGAACATCAGAATCCCCCCCCCAGAATCCGCACCCCGCCCCCCTACTCCCCCCCAAAAAAATCATAGATACAGGAGCCAAGAAATTGGAGCCGTCTGACTCATCCTTAAATTTACACAATCCAGATTGCAAAACCACCCCTTTTGTAGCTAACCTAAACACGTTTTTGGCAGAACCCAAAAAAAGAAGAAGAAGAAACTGTTGTTTTTTGGTGTTCTTTTTTTTTTTCCTTCTTCTTCTTTACCATTACTTGCCCTGCTATCTCCGCCTTCTCTTTTTGCAGGAAACTTTATTTCCTACTTCTGCACCCCTAAGTTTCTACCTCCGTATCTAGCTGCTTCAGTTGATGACAAGTCTGAAGGACGGTATCACCTGGAGGAGGGCAGCCATTGGTGAGTGGGGTTTTGGTTTTGGGGGGGATTTTGTGTGTGTGTGTGTGTGTTTTGTTTTCTGTCACTTTATGAATCAGAAGCTTCAAGCTTCTCCTAACTGGAAATGCAGAGATTGCTATAGAAAACCAATGCATTGTGCTGGTCCTGGGGCTTGAACTCAGGGCCTACGCGCTGTCCTGACCTTTGTCTGCTCTACCACTTTTGGCCACAGCTCCTCTTCTGGCTTTTTTTGGTGGTTCATTGGACAGACGCGTCTCACGGACTTTCCTGCTCAGGTTGACTTTGAACTGTGAGCCTCAGATCACAGCGTCCTGAGTCACTAGGATGACAGGTGTGAGCCACTGGTGGCGTTTGGCTACTAATTAGTACCATTTTTTTTTTTTTTTGGTGTTAGATCTATTTACCAAGATCTGGTGATATGACCAGAACTTGGTCTCAGAGCAACAAGCGTGGCCAGTTGCTGGTTCAGATATAAGAGAAGTTAGGAGACCAGAGAATTTAGGTACAAGGATGCAGATCAGGTTTCTTACAGAAGGGACATTTGAGCAGGAGGTATTGCAGGATGAATAGGAGCCCACCAGCTATTATAGATGAAGGGCCAAGTACATAGAACATCACTGAGGCTTGAAGGAAATGGAGAGTTGGGGTGGGGTGGAGAGAAGGTGGTTAAAGGTATACGAAATCACTGAAGACCAAGAGTAGAAAAGGGAATTAAACAAAGCCATGGTGAGCAGACCTGCCGGTATCTCTGAGGTCCTTTTACCCCCACCTCCCCACCCCCCAAAGCCGATTTAATTTCAACTTTTGGAAAAAGTAGGTGGAGAGGGAAACGCTAGGAGCAAAGGCAAGAGCAAGCCCCCTCCTCCCAGCCACCACCCACGAGCAACTGAGACAAGAAATAGGCAGTTGAAAGGCACCAAGGAGGGCTGGGAGGGTGGCTCAGTGGTAGAGCGCTCGCCTAGCATGCATGAAGCCCTGGGTTCGATTCCTCAGTGCCACACACACACAGAAAAAGCCACAGGAGGCTCTGTGGCTCAACTGGTAGAGTATTAGCCTTGAGGACAGTGCCCAGGCCCTGAGTTCAAGCCCCAGGACTGACAAAAAAAAAAAAAAGAACAAAGGCACCAAGAAGATAATGGAATTATTACTATTATTATTGTGGTGGTGGTGGTGGTGGTGGTAACGGTGGTTTATTCTAGACAATTTCCTTTTCATTATGCAGCCTAGGTAGGTTTTTTGTTTTGTTTTGCCTTTTTACATGTTGGTATAGCAACTTGAATTCAGTGCCTGAGCGCTGAACTTTTTTACTTGGAACTGGCATTCTTCCACCTGAGCCACGCGGTTAAGTCTGCCTTTTTTTGAGTTGTGGTTGTTGGTTAGTTGGAGATCAGCGTCTTCTATCCCGGCTGATTTTAAACTGTGATCTTCAGGTCTCCGTTTCCTGAGTAGCTAGGATGACAAGTGTGAGCCACTGGCGCCTGGCGTAATGAATATCGTACACTCAAACACACACACACACACACACACACACACACACCCCAACGCAGATACTTGGGAAAAAGTAATGGGTCTCCAACGTTTGGAGGCAGGATTTGAACCCAGGCCCCTTTGGCCCTCTAGGGTGGCTCTTGATTTCCAGAAGAGGAAGGGCTTCGGAGTAAGACCCAATTCTGCTTCGTAGGCAATACGGTAAGTGGTGATCATCAAGGAAAGCTATTGCACAAACTGGAGCTAGCTTCTCGGGGTGCTCAGATGGAGGTGGACTGGGCTGGTGGTAGCTTCATGGCAGCCATTCTGTTCCCTGCTTTATCCCTAGTATCCACAAGCAAGGACAGCATCCTAGTAGGTACCCGATAAATACTGCCGGCGTGGATTTGGAGAGATATTTACTGGACAAGGGAAACTTCCTCTCAGGTTTAGGAGAAAGGTGCATCTTGTAGACTGAGCTTTGAGTTGGCCGGGGGCAGGCAGGGCTGTCAGCAAAACCCTGGGATTACCTGACACAATTCTGGAAGCATTTGGAAGCAAGAATAAAGAAGTTAAAAAAAGAAAGAAAGAAAAGAAAAGGGCTGGGCTAGGGCGCCTGTGGTTCATGCCCGTAATCCTAGCTACTCGAGAGGCTGAGATCAGAGGATTGCTGTTCGAAGCCAGCCAAAGCAACGAAGTCTGTGAGCTTCTTAACTACTACTAGTAGTAGTAGTACTACTACAAAAAAGCCAGAAGTGGTGCTGTGGCTCAAGTGGTAGAGCACTAGCCTTGAGCAAAAAGAAGCTCAGGGACAGTGCCCAGGCCCTGAGTTCAAACTCTAGTAGTATTGGCACACACAAAAAAAGTAAGAAAGCAAGGAAAGAAGGAAGACAGAAAGAAAGATAGACAGGGAGGAAAGAAGGAAAGAAGGAAAGGAAGGAAGGAAGGAGGAAAGGAAGGAAGAAAGAAGGAAAGAAAGAAAGAGAAAGGGAAGGAAGGAAGGAAGGAAGGAAGGAAGGAAAGAAGGAAAGAAAAGGTGGAAAAGGTAAAAGTTGAGTCCAAGGCCTGAGGCCTCTTAGGGACTGGACAATGGGAAGAAGTAAGTGCCAAAAAAGAATATTCTAAGAAGCACTTCAGATGGGAGCTTCCTCTTGCAAACCCCCAAAGAGTTGAAAGTAGAGGAAGTTGGCAGGAAATCAAACACTCAATGAGAATGAATATATATATATATCAGCTCAAAGCTGAGACACTGAAATATTGTTGTAACCATGCGTTACTGCAGCCTGGACGTGGAGAAATCCAGGATGGCCAAAGAAAGCGTGGGGTTTTTTGGGGGGGGTCACTTCTAAGAATGTTTTGGGCTGCAAGTTAACAGAAGAGGTGATTCACAATAGCTTTTTTTTTTTAAACCCCATTTTCTCAAATAATAAGCCAGAAGAGGAGAAGTTCAAAGGTTGGTTTGTGACTTTCTAGGGCTTTTGTCTAATTTTTTCTGTGTCTTTCATTCATGATCAAGCACCAACCCTACACAAGATAATCTGTAGCTGAACACCAGTGGCTCATACCTGCCATCCCAGCTACCCAGGAGGCTGAGATCTGAGGATCTCGGTTCAAAGCCAACCTAGGCAGGAAAGCCGGTGAGACTCTTACCTTCAATTCACCACCAGAAAACCAGAAGTGGCTTAAAGTAGTAGTGCTAGCCTTGAGCAAAAGGAGTTCAGGGACAGCACCCAGGCCCTGAGTTCAAGCCCTGTGGCTGATTCCTCCTCCACCACCCCCCAAAAAAAAGATAATTTGCAAAGGTAGAAGAGGTAAGGCAGGATTTTTCCTGTGTGTGTCTCTTACACAGGAAGAACCTTGTAGAAACACCTCCCCCAAGTAGGTTGTGCTTTTATTTTCTAGGAATGAGTCACAGGCCCACACACAATCAGCAGAAGAGGTAGACATGCATTTTTTGGGGTGGGGTCAGTCATGGGGCTTGAACTCAGGGCCTGATCGCTGTCCTTCAGCTCTTCAGCTCAAAGCAAGAGCTCTACCACTTGAGCCACGGCGCCGCTTCTGGCTTTTTCTGCTTAGGTGGTGCTGAGGAATCGAACCCAGGGCCTCATGCATGCAAGGCAAGCAATTCCACCAGTGAGCCACCTTCCCAGCCCTAGACGTGGGTTTTTAACTGTAGAATAACTAATATTGGCCCTCACTAGGGAATCAAAGGGGAAAATGTTATGGTGGGAAGGGACAGCACCCCAAACTTTGGGAAGCTGTTTAGGGGGTGGGTGGTAATGTCATTATTATTATTATTGCTTTCTGCCCATAGAAGGCCCAAGAGAGAAGGTAAAGAACAATGGATGAGCACATGGCTTCCAACATGTCCTCCGAGACGCTTCCTTTGACAAGAAATGTCACCGAGAACCTTCAAGAAGCCACCACTGTGTATGACTACGACTATGGCGAACCTTGCTACAAAGTCAACGTGAGGCAGATCGGGGCTCAGCTCCTCCCTCCTCTCTACTCCCTGGTGTTCGTGTGCGGGTTCGTGGGTAACACCCTGGTAGTCCTTACCCTGATCTACTGCAAGAAGCTTCGGAGCATGACGGACATTTACCTGCTCAACTTGGCCATCTCCGACCTCCTCTTCCTCCTCACGCTACCTTTTTGGGCTCACTACGCCTCCAACCCGTGGATCTTTGGGGGTGTCCTCTGTAAGTTCCTCACGGGGATGTACTACGCTGGTTACTTCGGGGACATCTTCTTCGTCCTCCTCCTCACCATCGATCGGTATTTAGCCATCGTCCACGCCGTGTTGGCTTTAAAAGCAAGGACGGTCACCTTTGGAGTGGCCACCAGCGCGGTGACATGGATCCTTGTCTTGTTGGCTTCTCTGCCTGGGATCAGCTTCACGAAATCCCTGAAGGAAGAGACCGGTGACACCTGCGGCCCGTATTTCCCATTAGCATGGAAGAACTTCCACACCATCCTGAGGAACATCCTGAGTCTGATCTTACCCCTGCTGGTCATGGTGATCTGCTACTCCAGCATCCTGCACACCCTGCTCCGGTGTCGGAATGAGAAGAAGAGACACAGGGCCGTGAGGCTCATTTTTGTCATCATGATCGTCTACTTCCTCTTCTGGGCTCCCTATAACCTCGTCCTGCTCCTGACCACTTTCCAGGAATTCTTCGGCCTGAGTAACTGCAAGTCGGCCAGTCACCTAGACCAAGCCATGCAGGTGACCGAGACGCTGGGCATGACCCACTGTTGCATCAATCCCATCATCTACGCCTTCGTCGGGGAGAAGTTCCGGAGGTATCTGATCACCTTCTTCCGGAGACACATTGCCAAACGTCTCTGCAAACAGTGCCCGGTGTTCTACCGGGAGGCAGCCGATCGAGCCAGCTCAGCTTATACCCCTTCTACCGGGGAGCAGGAAGTGTCTGCAGGTTTGTAAAAATGAAGATGACTCACACCTATCCATCCTCAGCTACTCGTGGAGGCCGAGATTTGAGGATTGCAGGTGAAGGCCAGTCCTGTGGAAGGAAAGTCTGGGAGACTGCTTATCTCTAATGAACCAGCAAAAAAGAAAAAAAAAAACAAACAAACTCAGGGACATTGCCCAAGGCCTAAGTTCAAAACCCAGGATTGGCATGTACATACACACACACACACACACACACACACACACACACACACACACACACAATATACACATAAATAAACAAATGAATAAAAAGTAGCAATTTTCTTATCTTTTTTTAAAGGAAATGTGTGTGTGTGTGTGTGTGTGTGTATGTGTATTTTGAAGCCTCATGCCCAGCACTGGTAACACATACCTATAATCCTAGCTACTCAGGAGGCTGAGATCTGAGGATCTCTGTTCAAAGCCAGCCCAGGCAGGAAAGTCGGTGAGACTTTTATTTCCAATAAACCACCAGAAAACCGGAAGTGGAGCTGTGGCTCAAGTGGTAGAGCGCTTGCCTTGAGCTGAAGAGCTCAGGGACAGCACCCAGGCCCTGAGTTCAAGCCCCACCAACAACACCAAGACTTTTTGTTAGTAAAGAACACTCTTTTCAGGGGGGGGGTACAATACTGGGGTTTGAATTCAGGGCCACAATGGGCGCTGTCCCTTAGTTTTTCTACTTAAGACTAATGCTTTACCACTTGAACCATAGCTCCACTTCTGGCTTTTTGGTTGTTCATTGGACATGAACGTCTCATGGATTTATCTGCCCAGGCTGGCTTTGAGCCACGATCCTCAGATCTCAGCCTCCTAAGTAGCTAGGTTGACAGACAATGGTGTCTCTAATTTGACAGAAAGCCAGAATCATGAGCAGGAGACTTGGGAGTTGGAAGGGTGATCCCAGAAGGTCCTTAGGGCTGCAGAAGGTTCTAGAAAAAAAAGCTAGAGGCTCAGAAAGAATGTCACCTCCAAGCATCTTCACTCTTGTTTTGAGGCGACGTAAATATTGTTTCTACAACACCTATGATCGGGAAAATAATCTGCGGTCCCAGCTCGTGTGTTAGAAATAAGATCTGTGATGCCGCAGGGTGGCTGGCTGTTTTACTCACAATTTTACACATACCATCCGCCCGTGTACGACACACACCTAACCTTGAGGTTGACATGTGCACTTGGCCTCTACATCACGCTCCTTGTCCCGCCCACAGGAGCTGATCGCAAATCACATCAAAGCAGGGCATCAGAGAGACCACGCTGCCGCCCACCAGACCCTCCCAGTTCCCGCCCCTCAGCCCTGCACCCCGATGGCTGAGAAGACATCGGTAGCCACGGCCCTGAGTTCAAAGTAGACTGCCAGCCCAGTCACAGGGTCTCACCCTTATCATCCTAGTTACTAGTTAGGAGGCTGAGATTTGAGGATCCTGGTTCAAAGCCAGCCTGGGCAGGAAAGTCTGTGAGACTCTGATCTCCAATGAACCACCAGAAAACCACAAGTGGCGCTGTGGCTCAAGTGGAAGAGCTCCAACCTTGAGTAAAAAAGCTCAGGGACAGGGCCCAGGCCCTGAGTTCAAGCTGCAGGGCCCACATATACCCAGAGAAAGTCTTATTTTGTACCATTTCATATATGTATATAATACACACACATGCACACGTGCATTTCCCAATGTAATCCATTCCCAGTATGAAATGATTTTATTTTGTCTTCATTTCAGTGGGGTTTTTAGAGCACTGGCTTCTGGAAGGTTCTGCTGCAAAGAGCAATATGGTCTGCCTCCTCTACTCTCGGGCCTCCAGCCTTGACTTTTGTGTTCTCGCTCCTGGAGATTCTGTGTCTCCTCCATGTCTGGGCATGCGCTGGTACTGGGGAGAAGAGGAGAGGGCGGGGAAAGGGGAGCCTGTATCTTTCTCTGTGTTGATCAGGACGCCCCAGAAGGAAGAGCTTCATGTTGTTCTCCCTGCCAGAGGGGCCGAGAGCTGCTGAGACTGCTTTCGGCCACCTTGCAAGCCTGTGCCATTGCTCTTCAACTAGATTTCTTCCAGCTTTTCATTTCCTGAACATTGGGGTCACCTTGCACCCCCTCCCAGCAGCAGGATCTCACACGTCACCTGTAACCAGTGCTCTCTTGTGATAACCACATTAGCCATCTTCCACCCACCCCCCCCCACACACCCCCAACCTCCCTTTTCCAATGCTACACCTGGCCTGCCCTCTCTGTGGGAATCCTACTGGAGCAGGGAGGTGGGACTTCGTTTTGGCAAGCCCTCCCTTGATTGGTTCCCCATCCACGCACCTTTAACTGGGAAAGACTTGTAGCAGGAGGAGCTGAGGTGCTGGGTGGAACACAGGATGGATTCTGTCACCTCTGACACCTCCAAAGGGAGGTGTCTGACCCCGAAGTGTGGTGGTTTCCTTCGAAAGGCAGAAGATTTAACACTTCTTTGTCCTTGATCTTAGGTCAATAGGCAACCAATCTGGGGCCCCAGGGGAGTCTTAGGTAATATCCTGTTAGAGAGCTGTGACCCACTTAAGGTGACAGTGGGTCTGTGTGTGGCCTTGGGGGGTGGGGTGAGGCGCCGGGCAGTGACCCAACATGCTCTGTTGAGTGCATCAGCTGCACTGGGAGAAATATATGAAAAGAGAGGAAGGAAGGAAGGAAGGAAGGAAGGAAGGAAGAAGGGAGGGAAGGAAGGAGGGAGGGAGGGAGGAAGGAGGGAGGGAAAGAAGAGAAAGAAAGAAAGGCAGGAAGGAGGGAAGGAAGGAAGGAAGGAAAGAAAGGAAGAGAGAGAGAGAAAAAAGAAAGAAAGAAAGAAAGAAAGAAGGGCTGGGAAGGTGGCTCAGTGGTAGAGCGCTTGCCTTGCATGCCTGAGGCCCTGGGTTCGATTCCTCAGCACCATATAAGCAAAAAAGAAAAAAGCCAGAAAGTGGCGCTGTGGCTCAAGTGGTAGAGCGCTAGCCTTGAGCTGAAGAGCTGAGGGACAGCGCCCAGGCCCAGAGTTCAGGCCCCACAACCGGACCCAAAAAAAAAAAAGAAAGAAAGAGAAAGGAAGGAAGGAGAGGGGGAACGAGGGAGGGAGAGAAGGAGGGAGGAAAGAAGGGAGGAAGGGAAAGAAAAGAGAAAGAAAAGAAAGAAAGAAAGAGAAAGAAAGGAGAGAAGAATGGGAGAGAAAGAAAGGAAGGAAGGAAGAAAGAAAGGGAGAAAAGAAAGAAAGAGGGCTGAGAAGAGCACTTGCCTAGCATGCATGAGGCCCTGGGTTCAATTTCTCAGCATCACATAAGCAAAAGAAAAAAGCCAGAAGTGGTGCTGTGGCTCAAGTGGTAGAGCACTAACCTTGAGCTGAAGAGCTGAGGGACAGCGCCCAGGCCCAGAGTTCAGGACCCACGACGGACCCCCCTAAAAAAAAGAAAGAAAGAAACAAAATACATAGGCAGACTTGGAAACTGAGCTAAAGTACAACCACTAAGCCAGGTGCTGGTGACTCACGCCGGTCATCCTAGCTACTCAGGAGGCTGAGATCTGAGGATCACAGTTTGAAGCCAGTCTGGGCAGGAAAGTCTGTGAGACTTTTATCTCCAACTAATCACCAGAAAACCAGAAGTAGAGCTTTTCACTCTAAATGGTAGAACTCTAGCCTTGAGCAAAAGAGCTCAGGGACAGTGCCCAGGCCTTCCACAACCCACAATAAAAATAAATTTAAAAAACTAGCAAAGGGTAATGCTCTACTGCCATACCTTCATGGCTAGCTTTTTCTTCTGGGATGGTTCATTGGAGATCAGAGACTCACAGACTTTAAACCACAATTTTCACATCTTGGATGACAGGAGAGAGCCACTAGTGCCCAGTTCAATGGATCATTTCTTTGAAGAGTAGGAACACAATCCAGGTGAGAAGCACTCCAAGCACTGGAAGGTACAATGTAGAAAGACAGACAGAAATTAAAAAACAAAATACAACATCATGGCAAGATGAACGGCTACTTTGGGGTTCTCCTCATACCAGAACAAAGGCTTAATGTCTGGAGAACGTTCTGGAGATTCTCAGTTCCTTTTTACATCCTTCAGATGATCTAAGAATTGCCTGGACCACACCTCTGAACCAGAAATTCAAAACAGACAGACAGTTGAGTTTCCTTCCCGTTGATGAATGTTCATTTCATATCAGTGTGTACTTTTCAAACCAGGTGTGATGAGGTAGAGTTAAAGGAGAGATGAGCCGGGCACTGGTGTGGCTCACGCCTGTCATCCTAGCTACTCAGGAGGCTGAGATCTGAGGATCGAGGTTCAAAGCCAGCCTGGGCAGGAAAGTCTGTGAGACTCTGATCTCCAATGAACCGCTAGAAAACCAGAAGTGGCGCTGTGGCTCAAGTGGTAGAGCACTCGCCTTGAGCTGAAGAGCGGAGGGACAGCGCCCAGAGTTCAAGCCCCACAAATGACCAAAAAATATACAATAATAACAACAACATAGTAATAATAATAATAGTAATAATAATCGTAATAATAATGAGAGATGCCCCAAATCTACCGCATCACTTGACAGATGAGGAACTGGAAACTCGGGGAGAGGAGGCCTCTTGTCAACGGTGGCCTCTCCAGCCCTGGTGTGAATGACTCAGCCTCCTTCATTGCCCCACATTGCCCTCTGGGGGTGAGTGTGTGCTCACGTATCACCAGCGAGCCTGATGACAGTCACGCAGCACAAGGCCAAAAAAGCCCCAAAGAGCAAACCCTAGATCTAGCGAAGCATCTCTGGCTTGTGCCTGTCATTCTTACTTATTCAGGAGGCTGAAATCAGAAGATCATGGGTTCGATGTCAGACTGGGCAGGAAAGTCTGCAAGCCTCTCTCTCTCTCTCTCTCTCTCTCTCTCTCTCTCTGTCTTTCCCCACTCCTGGGGCTTGAACTCAGGGCCTGGGCACTGTCCCTGAGCTTCTTTTGCTCAAGGCTGGCACTCTACCACTTGAGCCACAACTCCACCTCTGGCATTTTTTTTTTTTTGGTACTTCATTGGAGATAAAGAGACTCACCAACTTTCCTGCTCAGACTGGCTTCAAACCACGATCTTCAGATCTCAGCCTCTTGAGTAGTGAAGATGTACTAGTGGCTCACACCTGTCATCCTAGCTACTCGGGAGGCTGAGATCAGAGGATCATGGTTCGAAGCCAGCCCAGGCAGGAAAGTCCCTGTGAGATTCATCTCCAACGAACCACTCAGAAACCAAAAGTAGCTCAAAGTGCTCAAAGAGCACTATCCTTGAGCACAAAGAGGCTCAGGAAGAGCTCCCAGGCCCTGAGTTCAAGCCCCAAGCCCAGCAAATAAAATAAAATAAAATAAAATAAAATGCAACAGGGGCTGGGAAGGTGGCTCAGTGGTAGAGCGCTTGCCTTGCATGCCTGAGGCCCTGGGTTTGATTCCTCAGCACCACATAAGCAAAAAGAAAAAAGCCGGAAGTGGTGCTGTGGCTCAAGTGGTTGAGCGCTGGCCTTGAGCTGAAGTGCTGAGGGACAGCGCCCAAGCCCAGAGTTCAGGCCTCACGACCGGACCCAAAAAAATAAAAATAAAAATAAAATGCAACAATAAAATGAAGTCTAAGAAAGGATTGCTGGATGATTCTCTGATGTGGCTGGTTTGGCTACTGTGGGTGTTGTGGGAGAATGGTATTGTTATCTAAGCCAGGTTTTAACATTTGCCACCAGGAAAATTTTGACTACCTAAGCATCAAATGCTTTTGGAAAATGAAAGTCCCCTAGGCTTTACCGAGAATCTTACTGACTGAGCAGGAAGCTAGCTAATATGTCAAGTTCCCTTTCTAGAGCTTTTCGGGAAGTAAGAACATTGGTGTGAGGGCCTAATAGAGATCCACACAGAAAGCAACCAAGGGCTTGAATTCAACAGTCTGGAGACCCTGAAGACAATAACCTGGAACTGTACGATCTGCCCAACGGACTCTGCCTGTATTCAGCCCTGTATGTAGATAGGAGGGCTGAGGGACAGAGATGGGCTACAAGCTGGGCTTTCTTGAGATAGATGAGGATGGCATCTGCCTGTCATCCTAGCTGCTCAGGAGGCTGAGATATGAGGATCCTGGTTCAAAGCCAGCCCAGGAAGGAAAGTTGGTGAGAGTCTTAGCTCCAGCGAACCACCCAAAAGCTACAAGTGGAGCTGTGGCTCAAGTGGTAGAACACCAGCCTTGAGCATACATGCCAAATAAGAACGCAAGGCCAAAAGGTAATAGCAACAACAACAACAACAATAATAATAATAGATATAATAATAAAAATGTTTCAAGGTTGACTTGAGCTGATTTTTTTTTTTTTTTTTTTGGTCTGTCAAGTCCCGGGGCTTGAACTCAGAGCCTGGGCGCTGTCCCTGAGCTCTTTTGCTCAAGGCTAATGCTCTACCACTTTGAGCCACAGCGCCACTTCTAATTTTCCAATAGTTCATGGGAGATCAGAGTCTCACGGACTTTTCTGCCCAGGCTGGCTTTGAACCTCGATCCTCAGATCTCAGCCTCCTGAGTAGCTAGGATGCCAGGCGTGAGCCACCGGTACCCAGCTTTTGAATTGACTTAGAGAGCAACGGTTGGAACATTCTTATTTTTTTCCCCTTAACATTGACACTAACCATTTCCCTTTTACACAGCAATTTCCCTCTTTCAGATGTAGTTTCCTGATGGGATATCACTCACTCTTCTTCTACCTCTATTTGTGTGTGTGTGTGTGTATGTGTGTGTGTGTATGTGTGTGTGTGTGTGTGTGTGTGTGTGTGTGTGTGTGTGCATGTGTGCATGTGTGCATGTACATGTTCTGGTCATAGGGCTTGAACTTAGGGCCTGAGCACTGTCCCTGAGCTTTTTAGCCTTCAAGGCTATACCACTTAAGCCCTACCTCTACTTGTGGCTTTTTTTTTTTTTTCTTGGTAAATTGGAGATGAGTCTTTTGAACTTTCCTGCCTGGGCTGGCTTTGAACTATGGTCCTCAGATCTCTGCTTCCTGAGTAGCTAGGATGACAGGCAGGCAGGTGCCACAGCACTGGGCTATATCTTAAACGTAACTTTAAAAGAAGAACTATTTTTGGATTTTTTTTTTCCTCTCCAGGGCCTTTAAACTCCACCCCTCTTTAAAGACACCCTGCTTCCTACTCTATCCTGCCTAATATGTTTGATTTGCACAGCGCAGCTAGTCAGACAAGCTGAGACATCCGTTCCCCAAACAGGAAACTGTCTCTGGTAAGTACATCATTCAGCTGTCCTGTTGGTTATATTAGCTCAGCTTCTGTGATGAAGAAAAGATCTGAGTAGAAAACTCCTGGGGGTAACGTATGCAAACACAAGACGTGCATTTAGGAAAAAAAAATATATATATATATATGTATATATATGAAAATATAATATTTAAGGAGAAGGTCAGACTTTACTATTATTTTTTTGTCAGTCATGGGGCTTGAACTCAGGGCCTGGGTGCTGTTCCTGAGGCTCTTGGTGCTTTGAGCCACTTCCAGTTTTTGAGTGGATCATTGGAGGTAAGAGTCTCACTGGGACTTTCCTGCCTTGGGGCTGGACTTCAAACCACAATCCTCAGATCGCAGCCTCCTGGGTTAGCTAGGATAACAGGATTAAGACCTCAGCACCTGGCAAGGTCAGACTTTAGAGTTTCCAAGATTGTAAATGAAAGATGGGCAGCAGAACAGAATGTGTGTGTGTGTGTGTGTGTGTGTGTCTGTGTGTCTGTCTGTCTGTAATGTCTGTATCTGTGTCTTTATCTGTCTGTCTGCCTGCCTGCCTGTCTGTCCTTGGGGCTCAAACGCCAGGACCTGGGTGCTGTTCCTGAGCTTCTTTTGCTCAAGGCTAACACTCTACCATTTGAGCCATAGCTCTACTGCTGGCTTTTGGCTGATTCATTGGAGATCAGAGTCTCATGGACTTTCCTGCCTGGGCTGGCTTTGAACCGTGATGCTCAGCTCTCAGCACCCAGCTCACAGTATTATCTTTAAAACAAGCAAACAATCCTCACCTCTCAAAACAATAAAACTAAAAGAGTCCTAGAGAGATGGATAAACCTTGGCCGAAATCTCAACAGAGATTGTCTTCCAGTGTCGGAGAGCTGAACTATCTCCACTAGGGGTGTCTCTAATCATGAGTACCCCAGAAGCTGAGAATAAGCCTGGTTCTCTTTTTTTTTCTCTCTCTCTCTCTCTCTGCCACACCCCACCAACAAAATGGGAAGCCTCAAAGTTATCCAGATGCTATATTATATCACAAACATCTGATCGGTTCTGCAATTAGTGTATCATTGTTTTTCTGGCTCAGAATTTGAAGGTGAGATTTCCCCCCACACACACCCCCGTCCCCCCCTCCCAAGCCCTGGGTGTTTCTCTAAACTGCTTCATATAAAGGATCAGAAGTTTGAGACCTACAAGGATCTTTTAAAATAGATAATTCTTGGTCTGAGGGACTGAGACAACTGGTCACAGCCAACTATAAAGCCAGCTATAAAGACTGCCACCCAAACTTTCTGGATGTGTACCTATAGAGGTAGATCAACTATGGAAGGGGGCCATTTGATTTGGAAGCGAGTTGTTTTTTTGTTGTTGTTGTCGCTAATCCTGAGGCTTGAACTCAGGCTCTCTGGCTGCTTGCTTTTCTCACGCAAGGCTGGTGCTCTACCACTTGAGCCATGCCTCTGCTTCTGGCTTTGTTTTTCTCCTTTTTAAACTGGTTCGTTGGAGAAAAGAATCTCATAAACTTTCCAGCCCGGCCTGGCTTTGAACTGTGATCCTCAAATCTCAGCCTCCTGAGTAACTAGGATGACAGGCGTGAGCTACCACGTACCCCATGGCATTTCTTGCTTGTAAGAGAGCTCTGAATGCATGCCAACTTAGGAAATTGGAACCACACACTTCAGGATGTGGGCACTTGTGTTTGATCATTAAAGTTGACGGAGGACTTGGGTATCTGTTCATTTCGTTCTGATTGCATGAAGGCACCAGTCTGCTTGCTGATCCGATTCCTTAGTTCTTTCTTTTCTTTTTGTTGGTCATGGGGCTTGAACTCAGGGCCTGGGTGCTGTCCCTGAGCTCTTTTACTCAAGGCTAGTTCTCTATCACTTTGAGCCACAGTTCTACTTCCAGCTTTTTTTTTTTTTTTTTTTGGTGTGTGTGTGGGGGTGTCATTAATTAAAGAATCTCACTGGCTTTCCTGCCCAGGCTGGCTTTGAACCATGATCCTCAGATCTCAGCCTCCTGAGTAGCTAGGATTGCAGGTGTGAACCACCGATGCCCAGTTTCTGTGCCTTAGTTCTGTTATCAGATGTGAGTCCTAAGAGCATAGCAGTTAACCGCAATAAGGTAACACTGGTTACCTCTTGGCTGGGTGTCTGAAGGCAAATTACTTACCCTCTCTGTGCTTGAGAGCTCTTGATGGTAAGAAACTAACACCATCTACCTTAAAAGGTCACCTGGAGGAGCTGAGGAATGAATAGGTGTGAAATTTAGAAGAGTGATTCGATTCAGGGGTTTTTGGGCTCTTGCTGGCTCTCTCCCACACTTTCCTCTCTTGTGGGGTGACCGCAGGGGACTGTAGCTTCTGTAAAGATAATGAACCAGTCATTAGCAAGCCAGCGCTTGATTTACCTCCATATTCCTATAGAAAATGAGAGTTCAAGCCAGGAGCTGGTGGCTCACGTCTGTCATCCTAGCTACTCAAAGGAGCCTAAGATCTGAAGATCGCGGTTCAAAGCCAGCCCAGGCAGGAAAGTCCGTGAGACTCTGATCTCCAATGAACCACTAGAAAATCAGAAGTGGCGCTGTGGCTCAAAGTGGTAGAGCGCTCTCCCCTGGAGTCGAAGAGCTCAGGGACAAGGCTCAGGCCCCTGAGCTCCAGCCCCAACACCAGCACACACACACACACACACACACACACACACACACACCAATAGATACACAGAAATCTATATACCAAATACAAGCCCTAAACACTTTTAAAGTAATTTTCCTTCAAGGAGGACCACGGACTTTCCCCTCCCCCCCTTTCTTTCAGTTAGATTACACATGACTCCTTCTCTATTCCCAGGGTTCGGCAAGATGGATGAGGAGACACCCAACGTGACCGAGGCGTACGATTACCTGGATTACATCTCATCCGAACCTTGCTACAAAGTCAACGTGAGGCAGATCGGAGCTCAGCTCCTCCCTCCACTCTACTCCCTGGTGTTCGTGTGCGGGTTCGTGGGTAACACCCTGGTGGTCCTCACCTTGATCCATTGCAAGAAGCTTCGGAGCATGACGGACATTTACCTGCTCAACTTGGCCGTCTCCGACCTCCTCTTCCTGCTCACGCTGCCCTTTTGGGCCCATTACGTGGCTTCCCAATGGACCTTTGGAAATGCCATCTGTCAGCTGCTGACGGGGCTCTATTCCCTCGGCTTCTTCTCCGGCATCTTCTTCATCCTCCTCCTCACCGTCGATCGGTACCTGGCTATCGTCCACGTGGTGTTTGCCCTCAAAGCCAGGACGGTCACCACCGGGGTGGCCACCAGCATGGCCACGTGGGTTGTCAGTATACTGCTGTCCCTTCCGAGTACCATCTTCTCCCGATCACAAAAGGAGCTTGCTCGATACACCTGCAGCCCGCATTTCCCCTCCACCCAGTACCACGTGTGGAAGTATTTCCAGACCTTGGTGATGGTCATTTTCGGTCTGATCTTACCCCTGCTGGTCATGGTGATCTGCTACTCCAGCATCCTGCACACCCTGCTCCGGTGTCGCAATGAGAAGAGGAGACACAGGGCCGTGCAGCTCATTTTTGCCATCGTGATCGTCTATTTCTTGTTCTGGGCTCCCTATAATCTCGTCCTGCTCCTGTATACGTTTCCCCATTTCTTTCACCTGGATAACTGCGAGAGCTCTAACAGACTGGACCAAGCCATGCAGGTAACAGAGACTCTGAGCATGACGCACTGTTGTATCAATCCCATCATCTACGCCTTTGTGGGGGAGAAATTCCGCAGGTACCTCTGGGTGTTCTTTCAAAAACACATTGCCAAACACCTCTGTAAGCACTGTTCCCTCTTCCAGAGATCTGATCTTCCCGAGCATGCAAGCTCAGTCTACACCCGATCGATTGGAGAGCAGCAGGAAATCTCCGCGGGTTTATGACCTGGATTCTGGCTGGCTTGTGATTTTTGTGACTGTGTTGTGTCTTTGAGTCAAAGTTGTTTGCTTTGTGTTTGGTTTTTGTCAGTCCTGGGGCTTGAACGTGGGGCCTGGGAGCTTTCCCTCTACCACTTTGAGCCACAGAGCTACTTCTGGTTTTCTGGTGGTTCATTGGAGATAAGAGTCTCATGGACTTTCCTGCCTGGCTTTGAATCATGATCCTCAGATCTCAGCCTCCTGAGGAGCTAGGATGACAGGTGTGAGCCACCAGCACCCCATTTGTTCTTTTTTTTTTTAATTTGATTTTAATAATTTTATTGTCTCAATGGAATTTGACACAGCCATTAGAAAGAATAAGATTATGTCATTTGTAGGGAAACGGGTGGATCTAGAACAAATCAAGCCAAGCTCAGAGAGACAAACGGCGCACAATATTTTCTCTCATCTGCTAGATCTCAAATAAATGGGGACATGTTAAATTATATAGGACTCTAGGCATGTACACACGGTGAGCCCAAAGTAGGCTACTCTTAAGAGAGGAACACAAAGGTGCCGTGTCTCTGTGCCTCTGATCATATAAAATATTATTTATTGAAATGAATTCCAGAAAATGGCAATAAGAGGGTTTAAAAAACTTTTTTTTTGTCTTGTTTGGTCACTTAGCTGTCTTTGGGATGGTAAGGGGGGGGCGCATAGAAATAGAAGAACAAAAGGTGAACAGATGCTCGGGGTACTCACCAGACACTATATGGAAAGTGAATTATACAACTTGTGGGTAGAGGGCTGGGAAGGTGGCTCAGTGGTAGAGCGCTTGCCTTGCATGCATGAGGCCCTGGGTTCGATTCCTCAGCACCACATAAGCAAAAAAGAAAAAAGCCGGAAGTGGTGCTGTGGCTCAAGTGGTAGAGCGCTAGCCTTGAGCTGAAGAGCTGAGGGACAGCGCCCAGGCCCAGAGTTCAGGCCCCGCGACCGGACCAAAAAGAAATAAAAATAAAAATAAATAATAAAATAAAATGAAAAACAATTTGTGGGTAGGGACAGGAGGGAAAAACTGGGAGAGAGCGAGGGAAGGGGTGACATTGTCCGAAAAGAAATGTACTCTTTGCCTGACTTAAGTAACTGTAACCTCTCTGTACATCACCTTTATAATAAAAATAACATATAACATTTTTTGGTATGATGAAGGTGTTGTGCAAAGAGACGACCATTTCTATGACTCAAATTTTATATGCAAGCTGGTTTGGAGATGATTCTTTTTCTTAAAAAAAATGGTGGGGGGGGCGGGTAGTGGGGCTGAAGTGTGGCTTAGTGGTAGAGCGCTTGCCTAGCATGCATGAAGCCCTGGGTTCGATTCCTCAGCACCACATAAAAGGAAAAGGCCAGAGGTGGTGCTGTGGCTCAAGTGGTAGAGCGCTCGCCTTGAGCAAAAGAAGCTCAGCGACAGTACCCAGGCCTTGAGTTCAAGCCCCAGGACTGGCAAATAATCATAACCATAATCATCATCATAATCATCTAGCCAGGAGCTGGTGGCTCACCCCTATAATCCTAGTTACTCAGGAGGCTGAGATCTGAGGATCACAACTCGAAGCCAGGCTTGGCAAGAAAAGCCTCCGAGACTCTTATCTCCAGTTAACCACAAAAAGCCAAAAGTGGAGCTGTGGCTCAAGTGGTAAAGCACTAACTCTGAGTACAAAACCTCAAAGATAGATAGAGCCTAGGCCCAAAGTTCAAGCCCCAAACTGGAACACAAAACAAAACAAAACACACACACACACCCAAGAAGAAGGAATCCACTAGCCAGGTTGCTCACACATGTAATCCCAACTTCCCAGGAGGCTGAGATCTGAGGATCATGGGTTTGAAGCCAAGCCCAGGCAGGAAAGTCCAGGAGATGCTCATGTCCAGTTGATCACCAAAAAGCCAGAAGTGGAGCTGCGACTCAAGTGGTAGACCTTAAGTGACAAAGGCCCAGGCCCTGCGTGTGAGACCCAGGACTAGCACCGAGGAAACAACAAAAGAAAAGAAAACACACAGCAGAGAGTCATGGAAGGGTTAAGATGTGTGTGTCTGGGTGGGAGGGGGGGGGCGGGGGGGGGGGAATGGGTTGCACATGTGATTTTTCTCACTTTGTGAATGTGAAACTAGAATGACTAGAGCAGCAGGAAGTGGGTGGACAGGAACTCAGCCTTCCCCCCTTTTCCCCCCCAAAAGGTGGAAAGTATAAGGTCTTGGGCATTCCAAAGGCGTTCAGAGCTGCCCCCCCCCAACACAAGTTCTCATGATATAGACCAAGCTGGCCTGGAACCTACCTCGGCCTCCCTAGGTCTGTGATTATAGGTGTGTACTACCAGCCTGCTCAGCCCTGCTTGGCTGTACTTGTATATTGAAAGCTACAAATGCTTTGGAAGATAATATGTTTGTATGTTTTCGTTGTTGTTGTGGGTGGTGGGTCTTGAATTCTGGGCCTGGGTGCTGTCCCTGAGTTCTTCAACTCAGGGCGAGTGCTCTACCACTTGAACCACAGTGCCACTTATGGTTTTCTGGAGGTAAGAGTCTCACCCACTTTCCTGCCCGAGCTGGCTTTAAACGATGATCCTCAGATCTCAGCCTCCTGAGTAGCTAGGATGACAGGTGTGAGCCACCAGTACCCCTATTTAAAAAGAACAACAAAACTTGTAAATATCATCACCTAGCCCGGCAACGGTAGCTCATGCCTGTTATCTGAGCTACTCAGGAGGCTGAGATCTGAGGATCGAGGTTCAAAGCCAGCCCAGGCAGGAAAGCCCGTGAGACTCTTATCACCAATAAACCACCAGAAAACTGGAGGTAGCGTTGTGGCTCAAGTGGTAGAGTGCTCACCTTGAGCTAAAGAGCTCAAGCACTCAGGCCCTGAGTTCAAGATTTAGGACCCAGTGGGTAGATCAAATGCTGAGAATCAAGTCAAAATAAAGTCATACTGAAAAGGGGAACTTTGGGTAATCCTGAATTTACAAAGCAATGGTTTGTAATTGTTGTTGTTGTTGCTGTCTTTGTTTTTTCCCCTTTTGGGAAAGTTTCCATTCATTCACATGACTCTGTGATGTGTGGAACCCCAGATGCTCAGTGTGACTTGATTCGACTACTTCTTCCAGGCCTGGACTAAACAATAGTGCAACTACATCCTCTCGCTCACTCACAGTGTCCTGGTATGACTCCAAGTCACCAGCTGGAGGAGGCAGAGAGATCTCAGGAGAAAGGCCGCTGCTTGACCCTGACCCTGGCCACCACGCCAGGCTGTGGCCACCACCCCCGGGCAGACAGGACTTCCCAGATCCTTCTCCATTCAAGAAAGGGCTCTCTCCCACACCCAGAAAAGGAAATGCTCTGGGAAGATGCAATAGGCCATGTTCCCAAGTACCACCCCCCACCTCCACCCCCATACACACACACACACACACACACACACACACACACACACACACACACACACACACACACATACACATTTCTCTTTTTTTACCCTGGTTGTCAGAATGCCCAATCACATATTTGCCTGTTTACTTTTCTCTTCAGAGTTCCCTTTTTTAACGTGTTGTTTTTGTTAATATATTTTTTTTGAGATCTTTGTTTCTATACTGGGGCTTTGATGATCTCCGGGTCCCATGCTCATGCCTGGATTTATCATTTAAAGCTGGCTGGCGCTCTGCCACTTGAGCCATACCTCCTCTTCCAGCTTAAAAAAAAAAAAAAGATCAGTCGTGAGGCTTGAACTCAGGGTCTGGGCACTGTTTCTCAGCATTTCAGCTCAAGGCGAGCGCTCTACCACTTGAGCCACAGCACCACTTCCCCATTTCTGGTGGTTTCTTGGAGATCAGAGTCTCACAGATTTTCTTGCATGCTGGCTTTGAACCATGATCCTCAGATCTCAGCCTCCTGAGGAGCTAGGATGACAGAGGTGAGCCACCTGCACCTGGTTTAGCTTTTCTTTTTATTTTCTGATTAATTGGATTAATTAAGAGCCTGATGGATTTTATTTTTGTTTTTCGGGGTGAGACCAGGCTTTGAACTTAATACCTGATGCTCAGGCCTCTAACCCAGGACAGTACAGTTCTCACAAGTACCTGCTCTGCCCCTCCTACCTCCTTCCCAACCAAACTCACTCCCAGACCCCACTTCTCAGCCAAAGTACATGGGGGGGGGGGTCAAAACCCAGCAAGAAGCTGGGCCCTGCTAGTTCAAGTCTGTCATCCTGGCTACTACAGGAGGCTGAGATCTGAGGATCAAAGGTTCCTAAGCTTGTGGGGTGGGGGGGGGGGAAGGGGGGAGCTGGAAAGCTCATGAGACTCTGATCCCCAATAAGGCACCAAAAAGAAACCAAAAAAATAAAAGCTGGAAGTGGAGCTGTGGTTCAAGTGGTAGAGCACTAGCCTTGAGAAGGAAGGAAAGAAAGAAAGAAAGAAAGAAAGAAAGGAAGGAAGGAAGGAAGGAAGGAAGGAAGGAAGGAAGGAAGGAAGGAAGGAAGGAAGGAAGGAAGAAAGGAAGGAAGGAAGAAAGAAAAGAAAGAGAGGGAGGGAGGGAGAGGGAGGGGGAAGAAGGGAGGGAGGGAGGGAGGGGGAAGCAGGGAGGGAGGGAGGGAGGGAGGGAGAGAGAAACTGACACTAAAACCCCATTCTATACCAATCCCTACAGTTCATCCTGCGGGTTACTGAGGCTTATCCTAATTCAGGAAATGAGCGGCAGCCAAAACTGGGGAGGTGTGTGGGGGGGGGGGAATTTAGGGGGGGTCAGTGCTTCGCGGTGTCTGTCAACACCTGACGTCACTCACTCCGGTGCTATCTCTCGGCATTCCCCGGGCAACCCCCTTATCTGGAGGGCCACAAGGGAAATCCAAGAGACACGGGGAGGAGCCATCCACTTCACTGTCGGTCTCAGAGAAAGGAAAGAAGAAGAGGAAAAGAAGACTCCAAGGGGGCAGGGTGAGGAGCAGGGGAGGGGAGGGGATCCTCTGAAGAACTTTCCACAGCATCTTTCTTTCAAGCGCTGGTGGCTGAGATCTGTACAGGAGGAAAACAGAAGCACGGGGAAATCTTAAAGAGGGCAGAGGGGTGAGGGGAGTCCCCCCTGCGTGTAGAGTGTGGGGTATGAAGATCAGGATCAGACCTTATAGTTATGAGCACCCCTTCCTTCTGGATGGTTAAGCCGAGAGTCTGGGATCAGCTTGCCAGAGGTGAGTCGGTCTGTCGGTCTGTCTGTCTCTCCTGGTTGGTTTCGCTTTAGAAAGCTTTTTCTTGACTGACCTTGAAGAGGAGAGGATCTCAGTTCCACGCAGGACCCGGCCGATGGCTGGTGAAACTCAAGGGAAATGATCTTTTGAGTTCTGTCTGATGGAATGTTTACCTAGATCGGGGCTCCCACTGGTGAGAATGGGGTGGGGTGGGGGGGTACAGGGGGAGGGAGGGGGGAGGAGATATTGCCAACCCTCCTTTAATTGCCTGTGGCACTCTGTCCCCAGAGAGACATGCACAGTCACGCTCCTCTGGGGAAGTGGAGACCTGTTTGGGGTTCTTTTCCGAACCTGGGGTGTGTGTCTGTGTGGTTGGGGGAAGGGTAGGAGGGATTCTCCCCTCCTGTAGCTCACGCCTGTAATCCCAGGTACTGAGGGAGGTTGAGATCTGTGGATGGAAGTTCCCAAGCAATCCTGGGCAGGAAAAGTCTATGAGACTCTTTTATTTGTTTAATCAGTGAACAAAAAGCCAGATGTGGAGGTGTGGCTTAAATGATCCAGCACCAGCCTGGAGAGAAAAAAAGTAAGGGGCAGTGCCCTGAGTTCAAGCCTCAGTATAGGAACACACACACACACACACACACACACACACACACACACACACACACACACACATAAATAAGAGGGAAGGGGAGGTTATTTTCAAGCTTCTGAGATGCAGATCTAGTCTGGTTAAAATTATGCATCAGCAGAGTTGGGGGTGTGGCTCTCAAGTGGCAGAGCATTGGCCTGGGCAAGCACAAGGCCCTGGGTTCTAATCTTAGTACCACCAAGGAATAAAAATAAAGCCAGGCCACCTGTGGCTCACCTCTGTCATCCTAGCTACTCAGGAAGCCAGGATCTGAGGATTACAGTTCCAGGTCAGACTGGATAGGAAAAATCCATGAGATTCTTACCTCCAATTCGCCACCAAAAAGCCAGAAGTAGAGCTCTAATTCAAATGGTTGAGCACCAGACTTGAGAGAAAAAGCCAAGAGAGAGTCCAGGCCCTGAGTTCAAGTGTCAGTACTGGACAAAAATATACTGATAATAGTAATAATAAAAATTGTTATATATTGTTATTAATATTATATTATATGTGACATATAATATAATTGTATAATTATACTGATATAATTATATTAATATATTATTAGTAGTGTATATTATTATGTTATACATAACATATAATTATAATATTATACTAATATAACTATAATAATATAAATATTATATATTATGTGTTATATATAACATATAGTATGTAATTATGTTATACTAATATAATTATAATAATATATTAGCATATATTATTATATGTTATATAGCATTAGTTTATATATAATATAATATAGTTATATTTATATTGTATTTTATATTTCATATTATATAATTTATTATATAATTATAATATTATATATTATATTATCTATATTTAATAGCATATTATACAATTATTACATTGTATTATATATTTATTATGTTATTATTGATATATTAATTATATACATTACATATATTATTAATTAACATTATGTATTCTATAATTATATAATAATAGAATATACTATATATTCTATTTTATATATTTTTGTAATTAAACTAGGTAATTATATTCTATAATTATATAATAATTTATATGTTTAATATATTATTTATATTTAATATGTTAATATAAATACTCTATAATTTAATATAGTTATATAATTGTAGTTATATATAGCATATAATTTCAATTATATAATTATATATAATATGGAATATAATTGTATATAGGATTAACATACTGTAATGTACTATTCTATTTATTATTCTATTATAATACGATGATGATGATGAAATGGAGCCTCAGTAGAGGGAAAATGTGGCCTTGAGAATCCAATTCTGTTTCTTTTCTTTTTTCCTGGTCCTAGGACTTGAACTCAGGGCCTGTGCGCTCGCTTTCCCTGAGCTTTCGTGCTCAAAGCTAGCATTCTACGACTTGAGCTACCATTCCCCTTCCAGCCTTTTTTTGTTTTGTTTTGTTTTTGATAGTTAATTAGAGCTCAGAGTCTCTCGGGGCTTTCCCACCCAGGCTGGCTTCGTTCGACCCACGATCCTCCAGATCTCAGCCTCCTGAGTAGCTAGGATGACAGGCGTGAGCCACCGGCCCTCAACCCAGTCCTGCTGCTTGTTTCCCCCTCCAGGATGATACAGCTTGTCACTTCCCCCTAGGGAAGGCCCCAGGATGGCTGATTACACGGTGACACCAGATGATGAGTATGATGTCCTCATCCAAGATGAGGTGGAGAATGAGACGGTTTGGCCAGAGTCTTGTGACCCGTATCCGGTCAGCATCCTCACGGCCCAGCAGATGCCCTGGCTCCTCTCTATCATCTGCGTGCTGGGTCTCCTGGACGGTGTGTTGATGGTGTTTCTCCTGGTAAAACACAAAGGCCTCAGACACCAGGGGAACGTCTATTTCCTCCAGTTGGCTGTCTCGAACTTCTGCTTCTGGCTTCCCCTGCCTTTCTGGGCTCACCCGATCTCCCAGCAGACAAATCTGGGGGATCTCACGTGTACCGTGGTCACCGGCTGCCACTCAGTGGCCGTGTACAGCAAGGTGGCTTTCCTGGTTGTGCTGATCCTGCAGAGGTATCAAGCATTCTTGCACGCGCGGTGGCTGACTCGGGGCCTGGAAACCACAGCTGGGAAAATCCTCACCAGCATTCTGGCTTGGGGATTGGCTGTGGGGGTGAATTTGCCCGAGTTGGCCTTATATCAACCTTCCCTGCGGAGTCAGACGTGGAAATGTGCTTGGAGCCAGCAGCCCTTTCCACCATCAGCCGAGCCCTCCTGGAAATACTTCCTGACCTTAAAAATGAACATTCTGCTCCTGGCAATCCCTCTGGCCGTGTGGTTATTCTGTGGCGTGCGGATGAGTTCCACGTTGACCTTGAGCACCCGGCAGGATGACCTTGCCCGGCTGGTTTTCCTGCTGATGCTGGTCTTCCTTCTCATGTGGGCACCGTACCAGGTCGCCCTGCTCCTCTCCACCATCCAGCCTCCCTCCACACCCCTGCAGGACTGCAAGATCAGGCGCAGGCTAGACACTGGTATCCAGATCACCAGACTCATCGCCATCACCCACTGTGGCATCAGTGCCAGCCTCTACTTGCTACTGGATGCGGTGTGTAGGAGCCGCGTCTGTAGGCGGCTTCTGGGCTGTGGCGATGGCTCTCTGGGGCTCCGTGACCAAAACACCTCTGCCTCAGTATCCCCAGGACAGCGCCAGGACCATTGCACTCACGTCTAAGGGAGCCTGTGTCAAAGGCAGGGCTGATGGCCATGCATGTGGGTCGCTTTGCGTGGTTTTGTGTGATTGTGTGTGGATGTGAACCAAGAGGTAGAGCATCCTCCTGGAAATAGGGTGCTTAAAGGCTAGCGTGCCCAGGCCCTGAGCTCAAGCCCTAGCCCCAATTACTTGCACACACACACAAACACACACACACACACACACACACACACACACACGATGATAAAAGACGCCTTAAGAAAGACAGACATCCAACAATGGCTCTCTGATTTTTATTTCTTTCCAAGTGACAACAGGAGATCGAGAAGGCCAGACAGGGGGTACTGGAGCCTAGTCCATGTAGGAATCGGGATGCAGGCTCCTGGGGAGTCTGGGTCATCTTCTTTTTGAGTTTTACTTCTCTAGGAAAGCACAGGCATCCAGGAGTGCTGCGGAATAAGTTCAGAAATGGAGGTCGGGGTAAATCAAGAGAAACCAATAGATCAAGAAGGCAAGCCAGATGCTGGAGACCAGGGCTCATGCTGCAGTCCCAGGCTGGCTGGGAACTCAGGATCTTCCTACCTCTGCCTTTGCTAGTGCTGGGATTATAGGCATGTATTACCCTGCTCGGTCCTGTTTAGCTTTGTCTGTCTAGTGAAAGTTATTACAAATCCTTCTGGAAGAAAATATGTATGTAATAAAAAAAATTCAAAAAGCAATTCTAAAAGTCATCATCTTCTTCTTTTTAATCCAGTATGTTTTTAATGAACAGTACATAAAACTGTCGAAGCAATTTTTTTTTAAGTGGCTGATTTTTGGAAAACATCTTCATTTAAAAGAATCCTTGTTGGGCGCTGGTGGCTCATGCCTGCATTCCTAGCTACTCAGGAGATCTGAGGATCGCGGTTCGAAGCCAGCCCAGTAAGAAAAGTCCATGAGACTCTTATCTCTAATAAATTATGGAGAAAAAGCCAGAAATGGCCCTGTGGCTCAAGTGGTAGAGCACTAGTCTTGAGCATAAAAAAGGCTCAGGGACAGCCCCTAGGCCTTGAGTACAAGCCCTGGGACTGGCAAAAAAAAAAAAAAAAAAAATCCTTAGTAGAAGAAAAAAAGAAAGAAAAATAAAATAAAAAAAGAATCCTTAGTTAAATATAGTCCTTAGTTCAAATAAGGGAGGGACAAGGTTATTTTTCCTGTTAAGCATTTTTTAAAGTTAAGTTCACAAGAAGACTTTGTATTTCAAAATATGACTTCTTTTTATAAAGTATTTTTATTTAACGACTTTTTGTTGTTGCTCTTGTGTCTGTGGTACCCAGGAATCGAACCCAGGGCCTCATGCATGCTAGGCAAACACTCTCCCACTAAACCACAATCCCAGCCCCCTCAAAAATCCTACTTCTGGGCACCGGTGGCTCATGCCTGTCATCCTAGCTACTCAAGAGGCTGAGATCTGAGGATCCTGGTTCATAAACCAACCCAGGCTGAGCAGTCTATGAAACTCTTATTCTCCAATGAACCACCACACACACAAAAAGCTAGAAGTGGAGCCGTGGCTCAAACAGTAGAGCGTCTTTTAAAGCCCAGGGACAGCATGAGGTCCTGAGTTCAAATCCCACCATGAGTACCAAAATATAAGAAGAAAATAAAATGATAAAGAAATAAATGGAATTAGAATCGAATATTTTCCTGACGGTGATGGATTTTCCCACAATGCAGCTGTACCCACACACGCACCCCTAGACTTTTACCCTGACCTTCATACCTGCTGCTACCCAGGGAAGCTTCACTTACGGGAGGTGGAGCATTGTGTCAGTGTAGTTGTGGCGGTGACGTACTGCTGTCCCAGGAACTTCACATAGGTTGTTTTGCCCTGGAGTCTGGCTAGACACTCGGTGTTGTCATTGAATAGGAGGTTTTTTGTGTCCGACTGGAATAGACAAAACTCGCCCGGACACTTCTGTCCAGTTCTTCCAAACAGAATCTGGGACAGAAAAACAGACAATAAAGGAAAACACCACGAAGACTGGAGGGTGTGCTGGAGGATCGCAGTTTGAGGCCAGCCCAGGCAAGAAAGTCCCGGTGAGACTCTTATCTCCAATGAACCACCAGAAAGTTGGAAGCGGCGCTGTGGCTCAAGTGGTAGAGCACCAGCCTTGAGCTGAAGAGCTCAGGGACAGCGCCCAGGCCCTGAGTTCAAGCCCCATGACCGACAAAAAAACGATAAAATAAAACAACAACACACCAGTGATCACGATGCTGCATACCTGTTGCTCCAGCAACACTTTTTCAACGACTTTTGCCTTCTCTGACCGAGATACCACAGCGTGGTTTGGGGCCATAGCCAGGTGACAGCTCCGAGCCTCAGTCACCGGCTTCCGAGAGCCATCCAGACACAACAGCTCATAGTCCTCAAGTTTTAAGTCTCTAGCCCATGCCTCTGTGTTCTTTCCTGGAAAGAGAAGGAAGGTGGCATCAACCCCGGAGGCCCTATTTGGTCCTGGAGTCCCAGGTAACGGTCCCATTGGGGCTTTCGTGAAGACAGAATGAATGAACCTTTATCCTGAATGAGCTATGTGGACTCTGACTATTCCTAACACTGGAGTTGTAGGCACGTGTTAACATGCTATTCAGGGAGAAAGCCAAGTGAATACCTGCTACCAAAGTTCTTTTTCTAACCTGGGGCCCAGTGGTTCATTCATGCCTGCGATCCCAACTGTAAATGAAGTGTAAAAATAGGAGGCTCACAGTCCCAGCCAGCCCAGATAGGAGACTCTATTCAAGAAAAATAAATAGGTAAAGGCAAGGCTGGGGGTCCTGGTGGCTCACGCCTGTCATCCTAGCTACTCAGGAGGCTGAGATCTGAGGATCATGGTTCAAAGCCCACCCAGGCAGGAAAGTATAGAAGACTCAGTCTTTGATTAACCACCAAAAAGGCAGAATGGCTCAAATGGTAGAACACTACCTTTAAGCAAAAAAGCATAGAGACAGTGCCCATGTTTTGGACTTAAGATTCTTCTTCTTCTTCTTCTTCTTCTTCTTCTTCTTCTTCTTCTTCTTCTTCTTCTTCTCCTTCTCCTTCTCCTTCTCCTTCTCCTTCTCCTTCTCCTTCTCCTCCTCCTCCTCCTCCTCCTCCTCCTCCTCCTCCTCCTCCTCCTCCTCCTCCTCCTCCTCCTCCTCCTCCTCCTTCTCCTTCTTCCTCTCTTTCCTCTCCTTCCTCTTCCTCCTCCTTCCTCTTCCTCCTCCTTCCTCTTCCTCCTCCTCCTCCTCCTCCTCCTCCTCCTCCTCCTCTTCCTCCTCCTCTTCCTCCTCCTCCTTCTCCTCCTCCTCTTCCTCCTCCTCCTCCTCCTTCTTCTCCTTCTCCTTCTTCCTCTCCTTCCTCTCCTTCCTCCACCTCCTCCTCCTCCTCCTCCTCCTTTTTCTTCTTCTGATTTTGAGAATTCTTGCATGCACATAATTAACTGAGCTAGCTTGGGGCCAGGACCCTAATCTAAGTGCAAAAATCATTCTGTTTCATATACAACTCCAGGAAGGAATTTTCCACCGTATAATCAGCTGACAGCGAGCTCAAGTGTGAAATTTTTATGGTGGCATCTACAGGGGTTGCCTGGGGAGGTGAAGATTTTTTTGAATTATTTTCATTCCAAGGATCTGATTTTATGGGAGTCTGACCTATTGTGACTTTTGAATATGAGGGTCTGCTGGGAAGAAAAAGAGCAAAAAGCTTGACAGTTCCCCCTACCCTCAGCATTCTGGAAGATGGTGGAATCTTTCACAAATGCAACGTCTCCTGACTTCTCCACCAGGCACCTAAAATATATCCACAAAAAAAAAAAGGAAAATAAAAATCACAAGACAAAGAGAATCTATTAGACTTCTGGTTAAAAAAAAGAAAAGTTTGCAAAGGAGGAGGCTGCAATGCTTGGTAAGAAATGTATGCATTATCCTGCCCATGTAATTGTAACCCCTCTGTACAGTATGTTCTCAAATAAAATTAAAAAAAAAAAAAAGTTTGTTAGATGCATTTCAGAAACTGTAACGTGTGAGTGAACCTAGAAATGATGAAAGTCTTTCCAGGAATTCAAAGCTTGCACAATAATAAGATTAGGGGCTGGGAAGGTGGCTTCGTGGTAGAGTGCTTGCCTAGCATGCATGAAGCCCTGGATTCCATTCCTCAGCACCACATACACAGAAAAAGCTGCAGGTGGCGCTGTGGCTCAAGTGGTAGAGTGCTAGACTTGAACAACAACAACAAAATCTCAGGGACAGTGCCCACATCCTGAGGTCAAGCCCCAGGACTGGCAAAAAAAAAACCCACCACCACTAACAACAAAAATTGGAAGTGGAGCTGTGCCTCAAGTGGTAGAAGATCAGCCTTTAGTAAAAAAAAAAGCTAAGGGACAGCACCCAGGCTCTGAGCTCAAGCCCTAGTACCAGAAACAAAGTCTGTTTAATTGTGTGTGTGTGTGCAAATCAGAGTAGTGAAAAATTTAATATCGCCAAGCTAAGAAGTAGACAAGCACACACACTCACATATACACACACAAACATGCATATATACACGTGTATATACACACATACACATGTATATATATATTATATATATAATTAATAATTATAATATGTGCTATATATTATATATTTTATGGTTTATGAGTTCTATATATTACACATTTATGTTTTATAGGTTTACAGCCTTAAAGAAAAATCCCTTAGCCCTACAGTACCCCCAATATTCTTCAAGATGAAGGCCGAGGCCTTGTACTGAGAACTTTCAGGTCTCGACTTACCTCAAAGCCCCAGTGTAGCCGAAATATCTCTCACTGCTGTTAGCTGCACATTTATGCTGGCCCATCTCATCCCCGACACACAGAGCACAGAGACTGGATGTCGGCTCAGACCCAGGGGCACAGCTTTGACTAAAGAATTCACCTGGAGGGAAGGAAACAATGAAGATAAAGGCCTGGCTAACCCAAGCCATGGGGCCTGTAGGTCCATCTGTGTCTGCAGGTGACGCAGATGGATTTCACTTCTGAAACCTACCAGACATCAGAAAGAGTTCAGATTCTAGACGTCCATGGGGCAAGCGAAGGCTAGAGAGAGTTGCAACTGTACAACTTCAGAGTCAGAGTCCTGACCTCCTCGGCCTAGTCCTACAGGCTCAATTGAGGACCATGTTGAGCTTCTACAGAAGAACATACTGCAAATCTACTCCAGGATCTGATTTCTCTGTCTGTCTATCTATCTATCTATCTATCTATCTATCTATCTATCTATCTATCTATCTATCTATCTATCTATCTACCTATCTATCTATTGGTGCCAGTCTTGGGCCTTCAACTCAGGAGCCTCGGCTCTGTCTCTAAGTTTTTGTTTTTGTTTTTTTTCTGCTCAAGACTAATGCCCTACCATCTGAGCCACAGGTCCATTTGCAGCTATTTTGGTGAATAACTAGAGATAAAGAGTCTCATGGAGTCAAGTGTTGGTGGCTCACGCCTGTCATCTACTCAGGAGGCTGAGATCTGAGGATCATGGTTCAAAGCCAGCCCAGGCAGGAAAATCTGTGAGACTCTTATTTCCAATAAACCACCAGGAAACCAGAAGTGACACTGTGGCTCAACGTAGTAGAACACTAGCTAGCCTTGAGCACAAAGATCTCAGGGACAGCGCCCAGGCCCCTAGTTCAAACCCCAGGACTGAGGGGGGGGGGGAATAAAAAAGATTTGGGGACTCTCCTGACTAGGCGGGCTTCGAACTGTGATCCTCAGATCTCAGCCTCCTGAGTAGCTGGCTAGGATAATACAGAGACTACTTGTTTTTTTTTGTTTTTTTTGGGTCCGGTTGTGGGGCCTGAACTTGGGGCCTGGGCGCTGTCCCTCAGCTCTTCAGCTCAAGGCTAGCACTCTACCACTTGAGCCACAGCGCCACTTCCGGCTTTTTTCTTTTTGCTTATGTGGTGCTGGGGAATCGAACCCAGGGCCTCACGCATGCAAGGCAAGTGCTCTACCACTGAGCCACCTTCCCAGCTCTAGAGACTACTTGTTTATATCTAAAGAGGACCCCCACCTCCACCCCACCTGTCTCCCCCATCCCCACCCTGGCAGCCTGCAAACCCTCTTCCTTCCAGAAGGTTCCACAGCACAGAATGGTCCTCCCTCCACACCCAGAGGCCTCCTTACCAAATTTGCACGAGCCTGTCTGGTTGAAGAGCAAGCCTATGGGAATGTTCCAGCCTGCAGTTCTGCCCACAGCGGTATGGCAGGACTTCTTGCCTTCTAGAGAGTTCCAGGTGATGTCTGCATTTTCTTTCATCACTAATGCCACAGCCAGGTAGCCTTGAGAAACAGACAACAGAAGAGCAAGTCAACCTCAGAGACATTTAGCATGTGGAAAATATAGCTGTGTCCAACTCAGGCCGAAACAGTTCTAGAAGCATCACCAAATAATGGGCCTCAAACGTTATATAGACCATAGACCAAAGGAGGGAAAAAAAGCTGCTGCTACTGTCCTGTATCACAGGAAGACCGTCCGGGGTTATGAAATCAAACTAATTACAAATGCTGACTATTTTTTTTCTTTCTTTTTCTTTTGGTCAGTTGTGGGACTTGAACTCAGGGCCTGGGCGCTGTCCCTCAGCTCTTTTGCTCAAGGCGAGCACTCTACCACTTGAGCCACAGCGCCACTTCTGGTTTTCTAGTGGTTGATTGGAGATCAGAGTCTCACGGAAATTCCTGCCCTGGGCTGGTTTTGAACCACGATCCTCAGATCTCAGCCTCCTGAGTAGCTAGGATGACAGGCGTGTGAGCCAACCGCACCCAATTTTTAAGAACTTATTCTTAACCAACTGATCCTAACTTACCTTCAGGCGGTCGGTTCACACAATCAGAACCATTACTCTTTGTGGATTCTGCAAAGAACAAAAGCAAGAGTAACATGGCATTCAATACTGAGATTTACTGAGACGCCTCAGCTTGTGTGTGTGTGTGTGTGTGTGTGGTGTGTGTGTGTGTGTGTGTGTGTGTGTGTATGTGTGTGTGAACATGGCTCCTTTTGTTTAATCCTTCCCTTGAGCCTCCTGTGTGAACAGATCTATCCATCTTAACATCTCCCCTGGGTCCCTAGCCCCTCCCCACCCCACCCCCATTATGCCAGCCTCCTGGAGAAGGGGAGGCAGGCCCATGCCACCTACTTTGATTCTCAGCCAGGACAGGTACTAAACCACATCTGCCGGCAGTGTAGATGAAGCCTCCGTCCAAACTCATGCCGTCCGACTCCGCTTTCTGTACAGATACAGCCGATTGTGTCTGTGAGTATCTCTTTCTCCCTCTCTTTCTCCCCCTCTCCCCCCCCCCCCCCCCCGTTTGGTGTTATGTTAATATCAAAACCTTGCCCACATCTTCCTATTTTCTACAATAATCCTCAATCATTGTCACAATAAAAGATACGGGGACCCCCTTCCTCTCCCTCCATCATAGTCTTTTTTTTGGGGGTGGGGCCAGTCCTGGGGTTTGAACTCAGGGCCTAATCCCCGTTCCTTTCGCTTTGTTACTCAAGGCTGGTGCTCCACCCCTTGAACCACAACTCCACTTCCAGTGGTTCGTCTTTTGGTTGATGTAATTGAAGAGAAGAGTCCCCTCTCCTCCCCCCCCTCTCCCACCGGGGCAGCCTTGGAACTCCAATCCTTGAGATTCCAGCCTCCTGAGTAGCTGGGATTACAGGCGTGAGCTACCACTCCCGGCCTAACAACACCTGCTTCTTGACCTAAACCCTCCACCTCTTTTGCACAAGGCCCCCTGGGCCTGGGTCCCTTGACCTCTCCCGCCCCCCCCCCACACACACATCTTGGGGCCACTGCCCAACCTACCAGGATAGCGGCAAGGCAGTCTTCCGTGGTGGAGGCCGCGGTGCAGATCACCTTGCCCTGGCTTAGGTGGCTCCAGCGCTCACACTTGCGCAGCTCATCACTCCCCACAGCGCACCAGGAAATCCGGGAACTTCTTGCTGCTACTTCTTCCTCACCTGAAGAGATAGACAAACCAATGGGTGAAGCAGGATGGTACCCAGTAGCTCACACGCCTGTCATCCTAGCTACTCAGTGGAGGCTGAGATCTGAGGATCGCGGTTCACGGCCAACGCGGGCAGAAAAGGCCGCTTGACTCTGATCTCCAATGAACCACCAGAAAACTGGAAGTGGTGCTGTGGCTCAAGTGGTAGAGCGCTCGCCTTGAGCTGAAGAGCTGAGGGACAGCGCCCAGGCCCGGAGTTTTAAGCCTCACAACCAATCAAAAAGAAGAATGACCTCATCTCCACAAACCAGCCAGGCATACTGGGACAAAACTATCTGCCTTTCAAGAAAGTGAGACCCATGGTTTTCCATTCCCACTTCTCCTCATCTTCTCAAATCTGTGTTTCATTTCTTTGCTTTGCTTTGCTTTTTTGTTTTTTTTGCCAGTCCTGGGGCTTGAACTCAGGGCCTGGGCACTGTCCCTGAACTTTTTGCTCAAGGCTAGCTCTCTACCCCTTGAGCCACAGCACCACTGCTGGCTTTTTCTGTGTATGTGGTACTGAGGAATCGAACCCAGGGCTTCATGCATGCAAGGCAAGCGCTCTACCACTGAGCCACTTTCCCAGCCCTTCGAATCTATGTTTCTAATTTCCAATTCTTTGAGGAGTTTCTCTGACTTCTAATCCTTGTCTCTGTAAACACAGAGTTCAGTCTCCACCCCAACAAATGGCCAAGGAGGGTTTGGACACAGTCTGTGTTTCTATGGGTCTGTGTAAGAGCGTGCACACACACACACACACACACACACACACACACACACACACACACCTGCCAGTCACCATGAGATAGAAGAGTCCTTCGAAAAGGATCCACTATTCAGAAGTTTCACCCACACATTGCCACCTGCCCAATGGGGTTCACTCACTTTCTTTCAGGTTCTGGAACGCAGTGATGTGTCTGGATCCCAGGTATAGCTTAGCGTCAATCTTGGGAGGCACCCTCAAAAACCCAATGGTGAAATCCTTGAACAGTAAATTCTTCTGTCCACCAGGGGAGCCAAAGAGCTTGAACTCTGATGACTGTTTTCCAAAGCTTTCCTAAGTTGAAATAGCAACAGGAACCCCAAAACTGATGTTAGAGAGAGGGGGGGGGTGGCTGGGAAGGTGGCTCAGTGGTAGAGCGCTTGCCTTGCATGCTCAAGGACAGTGCCCAGGCCCAGAGTTCAGGCCCCACGACCAGACCCCCCCCAAAAAAAAGAGAGAGAGAGGGAGAGGGAGGGCAGCGGGAGGGAGGGAGGGAGGGAGGGGGAGAGTGGCGGGGATACTGGGAATGTGGCTTAGTAGTAGAGTGCTTGCCTAGCATGCATGAAGCCCTGGGTTCCATTCCTCAGTACCACAGACACAGAAAAAGCTGGAGCTGTGGTTCAAGTGGTAGAGTGCTAGCCTTGTGTAAAAGAGGCTCAGGGACAGTGTTCAGGCCCTGAGTTCAAGCCCCAGGATTGGCAAAAAAAAAAAAAAAAGCCAGGCATCAGTAAGTGGTTCATGGGACTCAGGAGACTGAGATCTGAGGATAGTAGTTCAAGGTCACCATAGGCAGGAATAGTCCCTGAGTCTATCTCCAAAAAAAGCCAGAAGTGGAGCTGTGGCTCAAAGTGGTTGAGCGCTAGCCTTGAGCAAAAAAAAAAAAAGCTTAGGGACAGAGCCCAGGCCTTAAGTTCCAACGCCAGGATACACACAAAGCAGGACTGGATGCATGGTTCAAATGGTTGAGCACCCCAGACATTGAGTATGGATGGAAAGGGCCGTAGGTGGGGCTACCTGGGCCTGGCGGAGAACTTGCCAGATGGAATCTTCCCTGCCGTCCTCACTCCGGGCCACCACAGCGCGGGAAGGGACCCTGGACAGGTGACACTGCTTATATTCGTGTACAGGTTTCCAAGTGTTGTCGGGGCATAGTAATTTATACTGGTCTCTCTTGGCTGCATCGGTCAACACCTCTGGGGAAGGGAGAGAAGGAGAAGGCTGAGATCTGAAGATCGTGGTTCGAAGCCAGTCCAGGCAAGAGAGAAAATCCATGAGACTCTTCTCTCCAATCAGCAAGCATTAAGCTGGAAACGGAGCTGTGGCTCAAGTGGTAGAGCACCAGCCTCAAGCACACAAAGCTCAGGGACAGCGCTCGGGCCCTGAGTTCGAGCCCTGGGACCGGCATTAAAGGAAGAGGATAGCTGTTCTTACCAAGTAGGGTGCTATGCTGCATAAAAGCCACATCTCCAGCGCCGTCCCTCAGACATCTGTGAAATGAGGGTGTATGAGTTCCTCCCTCCCCAGGAACCCTTCACATGAGCTCCTGTGGACATCTGTACCCCACAAGACAACATGGTGGGATCCACTCCCTGTCCAACCTAAACAAGTTCGCAAACTGAAAAAAATCAATTTTTTTTCTAAATAAAGGAGTTTTGGTCAGCCTAGCCACTCAGGAGGCTGAGAGCTGAGGATCACGGTTCAAAGCCAGCCCAGGCAGGAAAGGCCATCAGACTCTCAGCTCTAATGTACTACCACCACCACCCTCCCCACACACACATACAATCTACATGTGCAGCTTGTGGCTCATGTGGTAGAAGGGCACCTTCAAGCTGAAGAAGCTCAGGGACAGCGCCCAGGCCCTGGGTTTAAGCCCAGGACCACATCAAAAGAGAAAAAAGAAAGGAAAGAAGGAAGGGAGGGAGGGAAGGAAGGAGGGAGGGATGAAGGAAAGAAGGAAGGAAAAGAAAAAGAAATAAAGAAAGAGAGGGAGGGATGAAGGGAGGAAGAAAAAGAAAAAGAAAGTCAGAAAGAAAGAAAGAAGGAAGGAAGGAAAGAAAAGAGAAAGAAAGAAGAAGGAAGGAAAGAAAGAAGGAAGGAAAAAAGAAAGAAAGAAAGAAAGAGAAAGAGAAAGAAAGAAGCAAGGAAGAAAAGTAAGAAAGAAAGAAGCAAGGAAGAAAGGAAAGAAAGAAGGAAGAAAGGGAGTCAGGGAGGGAGGAAGGGAGGAAGGAAGGAAGGGAGGGAGGAAGGAAAGAAGGAAGGAAAAGAGAAAGAAAAGAAAGACGCAAGGAAGAAGGGAAGGAAAGTAAGAAGGAAGGTAGGAAGGAAGGAAGGGAAGGAGGCAGGAAGGGAGAGAAGGAGGGAGAGAGGAAGGGTAGGAGGAAGGCAGAAAGGATGGGAGGGAAGGAGGGAAGTAGGAAGGAAGGAAAAAAGGAAGAAGCAAGGAAGAAAGGAAGGAAAAAGAATGAAAGAAGGGAAGGAAGGAAGGAAGGAAGGAGGGAAGGAGGGAAGGAAGGAAGGAGGGAAGGGAGAGGGAGGAAGGAAGGAAGGAAGAAGAGGAAGGAAAATCTGCCCTCTCCCCGCGTCTCCAGGAGGCCCAGCCTCCGCTGGGAGGGAGGGACTTGGTCACTCACTTGAAGGCCCCTCGGTTGCCAAAGTAGGGCTCCTGGGAGGAGAAGGCACACTTTTTGGTCCTTGTCCCAGCACACAGGTGACACAAATTGGGGAAGCGCGTCCTGTCGGCCCCCGGGACACAGCTGCTGGAGAAGAACTTGGCTACGGCTGTTGAACACAGAGACGGAGGTGTGTGTGGGGTGGGTATACGCAGAGAGGTGAACGGCCTGGACTGCATGAGCCACACCACTCCACCGCACGCACCCCCAAAATGGAGAGACCCCCCCCAACACACCCCATTTCTTCTTCTCTACTCCAGAGCAAAACTGGCAACTCCAGACATGTGGCCTTTCCTGAAAGCCTAAAGAGGCCCACAAGATCACCCCAAAATGGGCCTCCCCCCCCCACCTCGTACCCCCCCTGATCATCCATACCTGTGCCTATACCAGAAAGCCTGGCCTATAAGCCAGACACTGCTGGCTCCTGCCTGTCACCCTAGCTACTCAGGAGGCTGAGATCTGAGGATCACAGTTCAAAGCCAACCCCAGGGAGAGAAAGCCCGTGAGACTCTTATGTCCAATGAAGCACCAGAAAACCAGAAGTGGCGCTGTGGCTCAGGTGGTAGAGTACCCAGCCTTGAGCACAAAGAATTCAGGGACACAGCACCCAGGGACCTGAGTTCAAGCCCCAACCAAATAAAGAAAGAAGCCTTGCCTGGGTGTCATTCAGCCATGCCCCCCCCCATAACATCTTACCTGCTTCCAGGGGTTCTGGGGGGCCTTTCCAGTTCAGGGATAGACGGAGAAGACCTAGAGGAATCGTCCAGCCAGCGGCCTCGCCCAGGCCCGAGTGGCAGGACCTCGCACCTCGCAGCTGGTTCAGTTGTAATGAGCTGCTGCTTTTCACCACGGCCACAGCGTAAACGTGGGTCTGAGGTTCTGTAAGCAGAAGACAGAGAAGAGAAAGCCTTAGTCCGGACCAGGTCCTGGTGGCTCACGCCTATCATCCTAGCTACTCAGGAGGCTGAGATCTGAGGATCGTGGTTTGAAGCCAGCCCAGGCAGGAAAAGTCCGTGAGACTCTTCTCTCCAATAAACCACTCAGAAAACCAGGAGTGGTGCAGTGGCTCAAGAGGTAGAGCACCTACCTGCCTTGAGCAAAAGAGCTCAGGGACAGCGCCTAGGCTGAGTTCAAGCCCCACGGCAAGCTGGCCTCAAACCGTGATCCTCGGATCTCAGCCTCCTGAATAGCTAAGATGACAGGCGGGAGCCACCCACACCTGGCTGGCTCTGGTTAGGAGGTTCTTGTCTTTTTACCCAGGTGTTCACCACATGCCCGTCTACTTTGAGTCCTCTTCTCCTCCCACCCCCCGCCCCAGCACAGGCCTTGCCCAGGGGGGAACTCACGGGCTTCCGTTCCATAGACTTCTGCAGCTATGGGTCGAAGTTTGTAAGAGTCTAGCCCTGCCTCCAACAGCAAGCTGACATTGAGGGTCATGGCATCTGCCTTCTTCGCCTGGAAGAAAAGGGGCCCGATCAACTTCCAAAGGAAACCTACGTAGTCCAGAAAACTATGGGCCGTCAGGGTTTCAGCAAAGCATCCGGCCATGGTGGGAAGGGAATTTTAAAAGATCAGCTTTCAGCCGGGCACGGTGGCCTGTCATCCTAGCTACTCGGGAGACGGAGATCTGGAGGATGGTAGTTCAGAGCCAGCCCAGGCAAGAAAGTCTTTGAGACTCTTATCTCCAAGGACCCTGCCTGAAAGCTGGAAGTGGAGCTATGGTTCAAGTGGTAGAGCGCCAGCCCCTCCCTACCCCCCCAAAAAAAAGAATCTCATGGATTTTCCTTCCCAGGCTGGCTTCGAACCATGATCCTCAGCTCTCAGCCTCCTGAGTAGCTAGGATGACAGGCGTGAGCCTATCATTTCTTCTGCAAGAAGACTCTTCTCAATTTACAGATGCCCGGTCTGCAGAGTAGAGGGGGCTCCAGGGTCTGCCTACTTTCTGGAACATTCCATCCACCTGTCTCCTGCTTCCCTCCCCTCCTCCCCCATGGAGCCTGGTCCTCTCTGGCTTACCACAATGGCGTCCATGCACTGACGAGTGGATTTCTTCCTGACACAGCTGATGGAGGGACCTCCTATTTTTTCCATGTTCTTCTGCCACTTGGAGCATTTGGTGGCCTCGGGTTGGGAGATGGTGCACCATCGAACATTCTCTCTAGGTGCAGCCAAGCACAATCCTAGGAAAGAAAGAAGAAGAAGAGGAGGAGGAGGAAGAGGAACTCAAAAAAGGTTCAAGCCGGGCACCAGTGGCTCACACCTGTCATCCTAGCTACTCAGGAGGCTGAGATCTGAGGATCACGGTTCAAAGCCAGCCCAGGCAGGAAAGTCCATGAGACTCTTATCTCCAAGGAACCACCAGAAAACCAGAAGTGGTGCTGTGGCTCAAGGCGTAGAGCGCTCGCCTTGAGCTGAAGAGCTGAGGGACAGCGCCCAGGCCCAGAGTTCAAGACCCTCCACTACTGTCTAATGGCCACAACTGCATTTCCTCTGATAGGTGTGACCCACATTCTGGAAGCTTCGATCCCTTGATCCTTTTGTATATGCTGGCAAGGGGCCAGCCATTCTGCTCCAGGGAAGACATCTTGCTGGACTCCCAGACCTCAACCTTGGCCAGAGTTCTGTGATTTCTTGTTCTTTTTTTTTGGTTGGTCGTGGGGCTTGAACTCTGGCCCTGGGCGCTGTCCCTCAGCTCTTCAGCTCAAGGCAAGTGCTCTACCACTTGAGCCACAGCGCCACTTCTGGTTTTCCGGTGGTTCATGGGAGATAAGGGTCTCATGGATGTTCCTGCCCGGACTGGCTTTGAACCTTGATCCTCAGATCTCAGCCTCCTGAGTAGCTAGGATGACAGGCGTGAGCCACCAGTTCCCAGCCCCCATGTATGCTTACAAATGTGGAAATTTGGCTTTTAAGGAGACTCAGCAGTGGTGAGTGAACCTAAAATCTCTCTAGATTGTTCTTCAAAGAGAAGGCGTTGGGGTTTGGCAGCTGCCTGGTCCGTTAGCTTTGATTTGATCAGGGCTGTTTGTGAAATTGATTTGATTGTTAACTACTTTCTCTCACCATTGCCTACCATCCTCCAAGAGGAAGCTTCTAATCCCAGGCATATGCTTAAGACAGAAATCTGATCAGGCTGTCAGGCACTGGTGGCTCATGCCTGACATCCCACCTCCTCAGGAGGCTGAGATCTGAGGGTCGTGGTTCAAAGCCAGCCTGGGTAGGAAAATCCGTGACACTCTTATCTCCAACAAACCACCAGAAAACCAGAAGTGGTGCTGTGGCTCAAGTGGTAGAATGCCAGCCTTGAGCAAAAAAGAGCTCAGGGACAGTGCCCAGGCCCTGAGTTCAAGGCCCATCACACACACACACACACACACACACACACACACAGTGTATGGATTTCAAAGATCTTAGGAGACCCCCAAGAGAACACAATAGCAGCGAGGTAGGCTCAGAGCAGAGCCCTGAGCAGCCCAGACTCTCCCTGCTTCCTACCCCGACCCCTGTACTCACCCAAGGCCCCCAGGAACAGCAGGTTAAGGAAGAGGAATCTCATGCCTGCAGTGGTAGGTCCAAGACCTGAACAGAGCTGCCTCCTGCTGTCTTTCTGGGAGCCCCTTTATCCAGTCTTGGGGACCTCAAAGGGGACAGGCCCTATCCTGTTACCCAACAGGTCTCAGGTGCCCTTCCCACAGCCTGAGGGCAGGTTTGCTAGTTCCTTGATTCTTGGGTTCCAAGAGGGAGGGGTGAGGGGGGTGGGGGGAAGGGGGAGACCGGGTCACAGCAGCAACTACCAAAAAAAAAAAAAAAAACAACTAACCCTGTGTGCACCTCCCTTGTAAACCTGCTTGGGTTCTATAGAACCAGACCCAGGTGCCAGGCTGTGGTTTCTGTGTTTTCTAGAAGGGGGAATACAGATTAGTAGGGTTTGGGGGGGGGGGTGGGGGGCTGCAGGGAGAGGAGGAAAGTGTCTCTACTTTGTGGGTTTCTTTTTTCTTTTTGCCAGCCCTGGGGCTTGAACTCAGGGCCTGGGCACTGTCCCTGAGCCTCTCTAGGCTCAAGGCTGGCGCTCTACCACTTGAGCCACAGCGCCACTCCGGGCTTTTTCTGTGTATGGGGCACTGAGGAATGGAACCCAGGGCTTCATGCATGCTAGGCGAGCACTCTACCACAGAGCCACCTTCCCAGCCCTCACTTGTGGATTTCTAAGACTTGGCTTTTCCTGCCACGTAGCACCCTGGGTTCTAAAGAGGACCTTGTTTGGTTTAGTGTCAGGGACTCACGCCTGTCATCCAAGCATCTCAGGAGGCTGAGATCTGGAGGATGGCAGATCAAGGCCAACCCACAATGGGAAAGTCTATGAAACTCTTTATCTCCCGTGAGCCATCAAAAAGCCGGAAGTGGAGCTGTGGCTCAAGGGGTAGAGCATCAGCTTTGATTTAAAAAATAAAAAGGCCAAGGCCCTGAGTTCAAGTCCCCCCCACACACATACACAAAAGGAAAAAGAAAGAACATTATTGAATATCTCAATCCCAGCTCATGTCAAGGCACAAACATGGACTCTGATGCGGGGCGGGAGGGGGGGTCTCACACAAGATTGGGGTGTGGGTGTTGCCAGAAGGACTAGCTTGTTCTGGGGGCCACAGATTGGCCTCTGTTTGGAAAGATGAGATGGCCACATTAAAAGTTGCTTTCATCCATAATTGCAAGATGATATTTCAAAAACTGGTGAAGAAATCGAAAATTGACTAACGCTTATTGAGTGCTAAGTGTCTTTGGGCCCGAACGAGCCCCGAGGCTTTGCCTGTTCATGCTTCTAGAAGAATCAAGAAGCATAGCTGGGCACCGGTGGCTCACTCCTGTCATCCTAGCTCCTTAGGAGGCTGAAGATTGGAAGATTGTGGTTCAAAGCCAGCCCCAACTAGAAAGTCCATGAGACTCTTACCTCCAATGAGCCACCAGAAAACAGGAAGTGGCGCTGTGGCTCCAAGTGGTAGAGAGCACTAGTCTTGAGCAAAAGAGCTCAGGAGAGCACTCAGGCCCTGAGTTCAAGCCCCATGACCGACAAAAAGAAAAAAAAAAAAATAAGTGTACAGAAAGCCAGAGCTAGGGGAGAATGTTCTGGTAAGGAAAGTGGTGCCAAGAGGATGTCCATGGTTGGCTCAGGACCAGACATGAAAATTTCTTCCCAGAAGGAATAAAAGACTTAGGTTGGGGAAAACCCCAGGAAGAAAGTACCTGAGCCCAGAACCCATTTTTTTCTCTCTCTTTCCTTTGGGACTGCATTGTGTCCAGGGAGAGAGGTTATTCTTCAACCTGCAGTGAACCAGAAGCCTCCGTGCCTGCTTTTCATGTCCACAAGGACAAGGTCAAATGGGCCTTTTGCTGAGAAACCGCCTGAGATGAGCGTAGGCACGCAAGGAAGCCAGCACCTGGCATGGTAGCGCATGCCTGTAGTTCCGGCTACACAGGAGGCAGAAATAGGAAGGATCCCAGTTTGAGGCCCACCTGGGCCCACGTAAGAGACCCTACCTGGAAGACAAACTAGAGCAAAAAGGACTGGGGATGGGGTGGTTCTAGTAGAGTGTCTCACCTAGTCCGTGTGAGGACCTGAGTTCAAAACCCCAGAGCCACGCCATCCCCTGCAGAGTCTGTGAGAGAGATCGCTTTAGACAAAGAGCTTCAAGGAAGCATGCCTGCAGGAAGGGGGTGTTGGTTCAAGGCTTCCCATACACTTGGCTCCACCTTTAGAGCCTCGACCTTTATTCTTACTATATTCTTCTTTGCTGTACATTCGTTGCTTTTATTCTCGCTTTGGCTATTTTTCTATTGATCCGCAAACAGAGCATGTTGTTTCTTTCCAGCCCAAGAGAGACGGCTTCTCTGAATAATAAAGACTAGGACCAAAGATTAAATGTGGGCAATGCCCCAATCAATCTATCATCTGATGTGATGCTACCTCCAGAAGCTCCTACAACGTCACAAGCAGTTTTGCGGCTCACGCATAGTCAATACAGAAACTTAAAATTTCCAGATATGTTACAACAGGCAGAATTCATGAATTAAACTAAGCTAGAAGCTAGAAGGAGTTATCCCAGAAGCTCAGAGAGTTTTCGAAAAAGGAACCCCGATACTAAAAGGAAAAGAAAGATTCCCCCAACAGTTATGATTAAGTTTAGTCCGGCTTACGTTATAGGGAATGGTTTCCCACAAAATATAAAGTTAGTGACATCACATTTTCTGAACCAACCCATGAACCATTGCCTTATACAGGAGTTTATAAAGATGAAAATAGATGGATTAATATAAAAGGAAACAGGGTATTTTGGAACTCATTAGATTTTATGCACAGATTAGGTAGATCTAGACCATTATGGTGTTTATCATCAAAACAACAACAAGATGGTTTAAAATAACAATTAGAAATTTATGCGAACCAATATTGGGATTAAAATGATAGAAAACGGAGAATGCTTGACTCAACCTGGAAGTGGTTTTTAGGATGGTTTCAAAGGGACTTGAAAATATATGGAAACAATAAAAAGAGTACAACATAAGTACAGCCCTGTCTTAGGTTTGTTCATTATTAAACATAAAAAGGCTGAATAGATGATGCATTCAACTATATGCTAGACTTGTTTCGCACCACTTAGCTTAAACAGTTAGGATAGTCATCAATTTTCATATAATCCATCAATGCTTTGCTTTTCTTAAAAATTGATTACGTACTTAAATAAACCAAGAACCTATGTCACACTCACACACTGTATAAAAATGTTACTTCTCCTCAATAAAGATACACTCAGATGCAACTCTTTTGAGTCTGTGTCTGTTTGTCACTTGGCCAATTCCTTGCCCACCTATCCCGAGATCCCTGTCCCATCGGGTCCCAGTGCTCCGGCGGAGCTGGTCCGTTGCACCCCAATAACGCCCCAATCATTTTAAAAAGCAAGGAGTTGTGGTTATCCTTCATTTCTCTGGATGAGTCCAGACCAGGGCTCCTTCAATGCCTCCAGCTGAAGGATTAGCCTCTAGGGCTCATCCTCGGGCATCATCACCTCTTTATTATTTTTTGTTTTTTGCCAGTCCTGGGGCTTGAACTCAGAGCCTGGGCGCTGTCCCTGAGCTTCTTTTTGCTCAAGGCTAGCGCTCTACCCCTTGAGCCACAGCACCACTTCAGGTTTTTCCTGCATATGTGGTACCGAGGAATCGAACCCAGGGCCTCAGGCATGCTAGGCAAGCGCTCTACCACTAAGCCACCTTCCCAGCCCTCCTCTCATTATTTCTTCATGCCCTCCATTCATTTATTCATGGGACAGGATTTATGCATAAGACACCCAAACAGGCAAGGAATGCCAGAGGGGAGATAGAGTCAGAAATCCAGAGTTGGGAATGGATGCCAGTGTCGGTCTGAACTAACTCTTCCTAATTATCCCTCTGGACCTGAGCTAGTCCTTCTGGGTATCTAAGCCTCAGTTTCCCCCCTGGGGTTTAAAAAAAAGGACACACAAGTTACCAACTAAAGCCTGATAGTGAAAACCAAGCATCTGTAGCTCATACCTGTCATCCTAGCTACTCAGGAGGCTGAGATCTGAAGATGGTGGTTCAAAGCCAGCCCGGGCAGGAAAGTCCATGAGATTCTTTATCTCTACGAAACCACCAGAAAACTGGAAGTGGTGCTGTGGTTCAAGTGGTAAAGCACCCACCTGGAGCAAAAAAACAAAAAAACCCAAAACCCTCAAGAGCAATGCATGGCACTAATTAATTGATTGATTTTTGGAGTTACTTCCTCAGAATATTTGATAAAAGGGGGCGTGGTTTGGGGGTTTTAGGGGAAGCCCTGGTAACCGGAAGTTGGAGGGAGGGGTCCGGACAGCAACCGCTCTTAACCAACAATACCGTTACCCAATGTTACTCCATGTGTGAAAGAAATTCAGTAATCAAATTGCTTCTCTGACCAGTCCTTCCTAAATCTTTCCCTTGCATGATTCTCCTCCATTTCTAGATCTCTGCCCACCCCCTGCCACCCCCAGATCTCCTCTTCCTTCTCCTCACTTGAGGCTGGGGGGGGGGTCACTCTTAATCTCTCTAAACCAGTCCTTCCTCTGCCATCATGATTTATGTGTGTGACCTGGGGCCCTTCTGGAGAGTTCTGGAGTCTTCCTGCATCTCCTGCCTCTGATGTCTACCTGGTCCTCTCCAACCCACAAACCAGGACCTGGGCTGCTCCTGACTGAGATTTCTCCTCCACCCCTTTGTCTCTCTGTCTCTGTCTCTCTGTCTCTGTCTCTGTCTCTCTCTCTCTCTCTCTCTCTCTCTCTCTCTCTCTCGTCAGCCCTGGGCCTTGAACTCAAGGTAGGTCTGGAAGCTGTCCCTGAGCATTTGCACTCAAGGCTAACCCTCTAACCACTTGAGCCCAATTTCCACTTCTGGCTTTTTTGGTGGTTCATTGGAGAGAAGAGTCTCACAGACTTTCCTGCCCAAGCTGGTTTCAAACCACAAACCTCAGGAGTCCGCCTCCTGGGGTAGCTGGGATTACAGATGTGTGCACCTAGCTACCCAGCCCCTCCCCGGGGCCTCTCATCTGTCCCAGTGAATTTGATCCTTTAGGGCGTCTTTTCAAAACACAAAGCCAACTGGTCAGGAGGAACTCTTCCTCCTTTCTGTCTGTCTCTCAGGAATCTCCTCCTGCTTCTTCCTTTTGGATAAATACCCCCCTCTGTTCTAGAAAGAACTTTTCTGGACCTCGGAGAGGAGCCGCGAGGCATGCATGGAAGGAAAGCAACACGATCACCTTTATGAGCTATGGTTGGAGGCATGAAGGGCTCATCGCAATCAAAACGCTGGTGCCTAGTGCCTGCTAGCCTCGTTACACAAAGGGCTGAAATCTGAGGATCCCGGTTCAAAGCCAGGCTGGGGGAAGCAAAGTGCAGGAGATGCTTCTCCCCAGATGAACCAGCAAAAAGCTGGGAGCGGAGCTGTGGCTCAAAGGGTGGAGCACTAGCATTGAGTGAACACACACACACACACACACACACACAAAACAACAACAACAAAGGGACAGAGCCTAGGCCCTGAATTCAAGGACCAGACCTGGAACAAAAGAAAACAAAGCCAAAAGCACATCTGAAAAAATGATATAAACAAATGGCTAAAAGCTGGGCTGTGGTGGCTCACACCTGTCAGCCTAGCTACTCAGGAGGCTGAGATCTGAGGATCGTGGTTCAAAGCCCGCTGGGACAGGAGAATCCAGGAGACTCTGATCTCCAAGGAACGCACCAGAAAACCAGAAGTGGTGCTGTGGCTCAAGGGGTAGAGCGCTCGCCTTGAGCTGAAGAGCTCAGGGACAGTGTCCAGGCCCAGAGTTCAAGCCCCACGACTGACAAATATGGATGGCTGGAGAGAGCTGAACCATACTGTCTTACCATTCCAAAGCCCAGTGTTTCTAGCCAGCCTAATGGTACACTTGGCTGGACAGGCTTCTTCACAATTGCACAACTGCAGTGTGTCATTCCTGGTTGATTCTCTTGACGCCTCTGTGGGAGGAAACAAAACACACACAAATAAGGAAATGTTTGTCCTGGCTTTCTGGACCATGCGCCCTGACATTCCGGGAAAATATTTACGCTTCGCATTACAGGCCCTTCTGCATTGGCCGCAGGTGACAAAGAACAAGAAGACCTTTCCGGAACAGATGTGAGCGGTGAAATCTAAGCTTGAGGGCTGCAGAAGGAAGTAAAGAGACTTTGGCTCATGAAATAGTCCAGGGGGGACCTCCTCTTTCACCCCTTTCTGGCTGGGCTATGGGTACTGATGCATAAGGAGACAGACGTTCTGGCTGGGGGAGCAGAAAGGGGTGCTATTGTCTCTTCTGCCGCTGGTGATGGACTTCTCTGATCTGGTCTAATTCTTCCCTTACTCCAGTTCTCAGGACCATCTGTGTGTGTGTGTGTGTGTGTGTGTGTGTGTCAGAGAGAGAGAGACAGAGACAGAGTACTAGGACTTGAACTCAGAGCTATGTCCTTTAGCTTTGTTCACTCAGGGCTGGGTGCTCTACCACTTGAGCCACAGCTCCACTTCTGCCTTTTTTTTTTGGGGTGGGGGTTCACTGGAGCTAAGGGTCTCATGGATTTTTCTTTTCCCGAGCTGGCTTCAAATTGTGATCCTTAGATCTCAGCCTCCCAAGTAGCTAGGATGACAGGCATGAACCACTAGTGCCATATGATTTCTTTTTTTGCTTTTCTTTTCTTTCTTTTTTTCTTTTTTTTTGCCAGTCCTCGGGCTTGAACTCAGGGCCTGGATACTGTCCCTGAGCTTCTTTTGCTCAAGGCTAGCACTCTACTATTGGAGCCACAGCTCCACATACAGATTTCTGGTGGTTAATTAGAGATGAGTCTCACAGCTGGGTGCTGGTGGCTCACGCCTGTCATCCTAACTACTCCTGGGGCTGAGATCTGATGATGGTGGTTCGAAGCCCTCCTAAGCAGGAAACTTTGTGAGACTCTTATTTCCAATAAACTGTTCAAAAAAGCCAGAAGTGGTGCTGTGGCTCAAGTGGTAGAGCACTAAGTTTTGAGCAATAGAAACTCAGGGACAGTGTCCAGGACTGAAGTTCAAGCCCCAGGACCGGCAAAAAAGAAAGAAAGGAAGAGAGAGAGAGACAGAGACAGAGACAGAGACAGAGACAGAGAGACAGAGAGAGAGAGAAGAGTCTCATGGACTTTTCTGTCTGGGCTGGTTTTGAACCACAATTCTCAGATCTCAGCCTCCTGAGTAGCTAGGATGACAGGCGTGAGCCACCAGAGCCTGGCTTTTTAAAAAAATTTACATTATTGTTATTAGAAAGCTGATGTACAGAAGGGTTACAGTTATATAAGTCAAGTAATAAGTACATTTCCTTTCTTTCTTTTTTTTTTTTGGGTCCGGTCGTGGAGCCTGAACTCTGGGTCTGGGCGCTGTCCCTCAGCTCTTCAGCTCAAGGCGAGCGCTCTACCACTTGAGCCACAGCACCACTTCCAGCTTTTTTCTTTTTGCTTATGTGGTGCTGAGGAATCGAACCCGGGGCCTCATGCATTGCAAGGCAAGCGCTCTACCACTGAGCCACCTTCCCAGCCCCAGTACATTTCCTTTCATACAGTATCATCCTATCCCTTTCTGTCTCAGTTTTTCCCTCCAGTCCCCACCCACAAATCACATAGTTTACTTTCTTTCTTTCAGTCGTGGCTTTTGAACTCTGGGCCTGGGCGCTGTCCCTCAGCTCTTCAGCTCAAGCAGAGCGCTCCACCACTTGAGCCACAGCTCCACTTCCGGTTTTCTGGTGGCTCATTGGAGATCAAAGTCTCACGGGCTTTCCTGCCTGGGCTGGCTTTGAACCGTGATCCTCAGATCTCAACTTCCTGAGGAGCGTGAGCTACTGGTGCTCAGCATATAGTTCACTTTCAACACAGTATCTATTAAGTATCATGGCTACATTTGTGTTCCCCCCCACACACACACCAAGAAGTGAATAAATCATATCAAAGAAAAGAAAACGAAATGACCAAACAACAACAACAAAAACCCTCTTATTTTCATATCTTGGAGTTTGTTTATATATGTGTGTGTGTATACACACACACATAAACACATGTATGTATAATTGTATATAAATATAAATAGGTACATCATCATTGTGCCTTTGGATTCCCCCCCTAAGTCTCCTTCTTTGGTCTTACTGTGTGCAAATGCCTAGAGTCCTGTATAATTTATCATGTCCTAGAGTATTTTAGATCTAGCTTTTGCATAGAAAAGAAAGCATGGTGCCGCTTGTCTCTTTGAGTCCGGCTTACCTCACCTCACATGATTTGTTCTAGGTCCATCTGTTTTCCTGCAATCTAATGGTACCTGTGTACAATTCCATTGTGTACAGGTACCATATTTTATTTTTGGATCCACTCATCTATTGTAAGGCGTCTGGGCTGTTTCTGCAACTTGGCTTTTGGGACTAGTGCAGCAATGAACATGGGTGTGCTAGTGTCTTTACCATATCCTGGCTTGGGTTGTTCTGGGTAGATGCTCAGGAGCGGTATGGCTGGGTCATAGGAAAGATCTATGTTTAGTTTTCTGAAGAACCTCCGGACTGCAGTTCAGAGTGGTTACACTAGTTTACATTCCCACCAACAGTGCAACAGGGTTCCTTCTGCAACCACATCTCTGCCTGCATTTGTTTGAATTCACAATGTGTGGACCACAGGATTTTTTCCGCACCAACACTGCCCTCTTGTGATCAACACAGATAACTGCTGGAGTGCCTCTTCCCCTTGCAATGTCTCTCTTGACCCACACCACTCCTCCCCCATCCTGCATGGGGAGGGGAAGGCGAGGGTCTGAACCTCACACAATCAGAGAGCAGAAGCCTCAGGCTGGTGGCTCACGCCTGTCATCCTAGCTCTTCAGGAGGTTGAATCTGAGGATCGCAGTTCAAAGCCAGCCTGGGCAGGAAGGTCCAAGAGAATCTGCTCTCCAATGAACTACTCAGAAAACCGAAAGTGGTGCTGTGGCTCAAGTGGTAGAGCGCTTGCCTTAAGTAGAAGAGCTCAGGGACAGAGCCCGGGCTCTGAGTTCGAGCCCCATGGCTGACAAAAATAAAAACAAAAACGCTGTGGTCCTACGTGATTTGGCCTCCATTTCTACTTTCCTCAGGGAGCTACAGAACCTCGAGCCAGGATCAGCCTCTTGAAATGTCTTCCTGGGAGTGCCAGTGGAGCTGTGGCCTGGTCCTCCACCACTCAGGAGGCTACGATCTGAGGATCTCAGTTCAAAGCCAGCCCAGGCAGGGAAGTCTGTGAGACTCTTGTCTCCAATTAATCAGCTAAAAACAAACAAACAAAAAAAAAAATGGTCAGAAGTGGAGCTGTGGCTCTCAAGTGGGTAAAATGCCAGCCTTGAGCAAAACAAAAAAAAAGAGTTCAGGGACAAGTGTTCAAGTCTTGAGTTCAAGCCCCAGGACTGGCAAACAATCCAAAAAACAAAAAGCATCCAAAAGGAAGGAAAGAAAAAAAAATTTTTAAGTGAGCCGGCTTGCCCAAATCTAGTTAATTTATAACTGAACAAATAATATTGAGAAACTCCACTGGGGAGGTGGGGGGTGGGGTCAGGCTGGTCACCAGTGTCCTTGTTACCATCAACCCCCCCCCCCCCCAGCTCCCACCACCACCACCGCCAGCCTGGTGAAGATGCCCCCAGTGAAAGCCATCCAGAACTAAGGCAGGCCAGGCTTGGAACAGGAAGAGGAAGAAGAAGTCCCTCCTCTTCCTTTCCACCAGCCCCCCCCCCCCCCCTTTTCCTCCTCTTTCCTGATCTCCTGGCTGAGCTTGAGTGAGATTCTCTGCTTGAGAAACACCCAGATAAAGACAAACTCAAGAGATACGTGGCAAGTAGACCCGGCATGGCGGCCTTGTGGTATGCATTTCCCAGAATCTTTTCTGCCTTTCTGGGGAGGGGAGGTGTTACCCACTCTAGCATGGGATGGGGGTGGGGGGCTTAGTCTCCCAGCCCCCTTCCCACACCCCTTGGGGGAAGAAGGTGGCTTCTCCTTATACCCAGAGAAATTGCACACTCTTTTTTTTTTGGGGGGGGGGGGGGTGGGATCAGTCGTGGGACTTGAACTCAGGGCCTGGGCGCCATCCCTGAGCTCTTCAGCTCAAGGTGAGCGCTCTACCACTTGAGCCACAGCGCCACTTCTGGTTTTCTGGTGGTTCCTTGGAGATAAGAGTCTCACGGACTTTCCTGCCCTGGGGCTGGCTTTGAACCGCGATCCTCAGATCTCAGCCTCCTGAGTAGCTAGGATGACAGGCGTGAGCCACCAGCGCCTGGCTTGGATTTCTCCTTCTTTTGTACATGAACCAGCCCAGCAATGTCAGCGGTAAAGGATTTCCAAATGGCAAAGCGATGCAAAGCAACTGCAGTCTCTTTCCACCATGACAGGTTTATAAAAAATACATCAAGTTAAGGGTAAATAGGTGAAAACAGGCTCACGCCTGTCATCCTAGCTTCTCAGGAGGCTGAGATCTGAGGATCGCGGTTCAAAGCCAGCCCCGGCAAGAAAGCCCATGAAACTCTGATCTTTAATTAACCACCAAAATAAAACCAAAAACCTTGATTATTCAAGTTGATAGAGAGCTAGCCTTGAACAAAAAAAACAAAAAGCTTAGCTGGGCACCGGTGGCTCATGCTTGTCATCCTACCTACTCAGGAGGCTGAGATCTGAGGATCACGGTTCAAAGCCAGCCAGGGCAGGAAAGTTTGTGAGACTCTTATCTCCAATGAACCACCACAAAAACGGAAGTGGTGCTGTGGCTCAAGTGGTAGAGCGCTCACCTTGAGCTGAAGAGCTGAGGGACAGCCCCCAGGCCCAGAGTTCAAGCCCCACGACGAAAAGGAAAAGAAAAATAGCTTAGAGACAGAGCCCAGGACCTGGGTTCAAACGCCAGGACTGGCTGGCTCTCTCTCTCTCTCTCTCACACACACACACACACACACACACACACACACACACAGAGAGAAAAGGTAGACGGTGGTACCTGACTAAAATTCACCCCTAATTTTGATTCCAGAACTCTCTTCTTTGGAGAGACAGACAGACAGACAGACAGACAGACAGACAGACAGACAGACAGATAGATAGATAGATAGATAGAATAGATAGATAGATAGGATAGATAAAGATAAATATATATAGACACATATAGATATATATTGATATATTGATATATTTTTTTGGATCTGTGTCTTTTCATAACGCTTTCCGGAAGGGATGGTTAGCTCCTCTCTCCAAACTCAGAAACAAAACACACACTGACCTTTGATTTGGGGAGGGAAAGAGAGCCAACCTGCACCTTCCTACTCCAAAATGGATGAGCTCGCCTCCTGCTACGGATCTGCCAGGACCCTGGAGGACCCCGACCTACCCAGCAACACTGTGTCAGCTGCCAGGACCCAGGACATAGAAGTATGGAAACAAGTGTTCCAGGAACTGATACAGGAAGTCAAACCATGGCACAAATGGACCCTGAATGGGACAAGGACATTCTTCCTGACTCCCCAAAGCCCGGGTGGGTGAAGTGGCAGCAGAAGGCCTTTGCCAGGTAAGAGGGCAATGGGAGGATGCCAGGAAAACCCCTGCTTAGCTCCTTGTGTTTAGGCACATGCGTGTATGAGTGCCTGCCTGTGTATGTGTGGGTACCAGGGCTCGAACTCAGGGCCTGGGTGCTGTCCCTCAGCTCTTCAGCTCAAGGCGAGCGCTCTACCACTTGAGCCACGGCACCACTTCCAGTTTTCTGGTGGTTCACTGGAGATAAGAATCTCAGGAACTCTCCTGCCCAGGCTGGCTTTGAACCACGATCCTCAGATCTCAGTCTCCTGAGGAGCTGGGATGAACAGGCATGAGCCACGAGCACCTACCTAAGAATCTTTCTGAAAATAGGACTCACAGGTTGAAGTTGTGGCTCAGGTGATAGACTGCCGGCCAGTGAGTCAGATAGTGAGTTTCAGTATTGATCTCAGACAATAATAATAATAATAATAAGGAGAGGAAGAAGAAGAAGAAGACTCTCAGCAGGGCACTGGTGGCTCACGCCTGTCATCCTAGCTACTCAAGAGACAGATTTCAAGATCAAAGCCAGCCAGGGACAGAAAAGTCCATGAAACTCTGATCTCAAAGATACAAACAAAACACACACACACACACACACACACACACACACACAAACCTCACTACCAAAAAGCCAGAAGTGAAGCTGTGTGGCTCAAGTGGCAGAGCGCTAGCCTTGAACAAAAGAAGTAGTCCAGGGATAGCCCCCAAGCCCTGAGTTCAAGCCCCAAGACCAGTACTCCCCTTCCCCCTCCCAAATAAAATAAATAAATACATGAAACAGGACTCTCAGAAGGTCAAACAACCTTTCAACTCCTCCTTTCTCCGGCTGGGAAAGTGAAACCTAAAATTCTGGGCAGGAAGGCCTCTCACGAGACTCGACTGGCACAGAAGGTAGAGTCTAGTTGCTGTCTCCTTTACTCCAGTCTGACCAGAAAAGATAAGAGTTTTTCCAGGCGGGGCGCTGGCAGACGGCCCAGAGCAAAGTCTGTGTATTTGTAAGAGCGTAGAAATGCGAGGCTGGCGTGCTAGAAATGCAATCAGACCAGGACAGGAGAAAGGAGGTCAGGTCGGCCTAAACAGGCTCTTGTGCATGGTTCACTTACAGCAACTCCTGGCTAGTTCATCTCAAAAGGCCCCTGAGCTCCACGCACAAAGGTAGAGGAAGGCTGGGCACCGGTGTCTCGTGCCTATCATCCTAGCTACTCAGGAGGCTGAGATCTGAGAATCACGGTTCAAAGCCAGCCCGGGGAAGTCTGTGAGACTCCGATCTCCAGTGAAGCAGCAAAATGCCAGAAGTGATGCTGTGGCTCAAATAGTAGAGTGCCAGCCTTGCGTGAAGAGAAACTAGGGGAGAATGCCCTGGTCCTGAGTTTGAACCCCAAGTACAGGCCAAAAATGAGAGGGGTGGAGGAAGGAAAGGAAAGAAGAAGAGAGAAGAGGGGAGGGAAGGGAAGAAGGGAAGAGAAGGAAGGGGAAAGGAGGAAAGGGAGGGGAGGGGGAGGAAAGGGACCAGAAGGGGAGAGGAGAGGAGGGGAGAAGGGAGGGAAAGAAAGGGAAGGGGAAGGGAGAGGAGAAAGAGAAAATGAAAGAAAAAGGAAACACTTGTCTCTTAAGTGAGCTTGTATCTTTCAACTCAGACAGCTTGTGATGTTAATGGGTTTTGTTTTGTTTTATTGTTGACTTCAGTTTATTTATTTCGTTTGTTTTTTAGCCAGTCCTGGGTCTTGAACTCTAGGCCTGGGTGCTGTCCCTCAGCTCTTCAGCTCAAGGCAAGCGCTCTACCACTTGAGCCACAGCGCCACTTCCAGTTTTCTGGTGGGTCATTGGAGATCAGAGTCTCACAGACTTTCCTGCCCAGGCTGGCTTTGAACCACCATCCTCAGATCTCAGCCTCCCTGAGTAGCTAGGATGACAGGTGTGAGCCACCGGCTCCTGGCTGGCAGATTTTCCATCTTCATGGCCAATACCTATGGGCACAGATGGGCACAGGGCTGGATCCATGTCTTCTGCCTCTATTCTGATCCCGCCCACCTGAGTCACGTGACAGTGACTGACAGTTGCTCTCTCTGGCTGTAAGTGAAGGCTCCAAGTCATTCATTGACCTCGCTCATCTCTCTGTCTCCCCAGATTCCAATGCTCTTCTTGCTCTCGAACTTGGGCCTCTGGCCACATCCAGGTCCTGTTCTACATGCGTTGGAATAAGAAGAGGCACCAAGGGCAGGTGAAGATGAGGACGTTCGCCCAGAGGTGTAAGAAATGCCCTTCGTCTCCGTTTGAGGTCCCCGAGTTCACCCTGGAGAATATCTCCAGGATCTTGAACAACCTGGTGCTCCGAATCCTGCAGAAATGCTACAAGGAAGGATTTAAGCCGATGGAGGAGGTGTCTGTCATCAAAGACACGGAACTCGAAGGCCCCCATGACAGCACCAATTGCGAAGCCTGTCTTCAGGGCTTCTGTGCCCAGAGCTACGGGGGTCTGGCCACACAGCGGCCATCATCACCCCACCCCTGCGGGGAGACCGGGGTCCCAGCGTCATCGCGACTGGTATCAACATTCCCCAAGGAGACAAGGTCCTTCCATCCAGAGTGAACCCCAAAGATCCTATCCACCCCAAGGCTGACCCCAAGATCCGGCACACACCTCCTACACGACAAGTTCTGTCCACTTTGACAGTGGACCCCAAATCTCAACCTCCCAAGACTGACCCCAAGAGCCAGCCTACATCTCACACACAACAGGTTCTGCCTACTTTGGTGGTGAACCCCAAATCTAAACCTCCCAAGAGCCAGCCAACATCGCACACACAACATGATCTGTCTACTTTGATGGGGAACCCCAAATCTAACCCTCCCAAGACTGACCACAAGGTCAGCCATATGTCAAAGCCATCAACTGCTCTAACATCTCTCACATTCACAGTGAACCCCGAAGTTCCTATCTTCTCCAAGGCTGACCCCAAGCCCCAGTGCACCACCAAATCAACTACTCCAACACTGCCACAAGGGGCAACCACGGTGAACCCCCAGATCCCTAACCCCGGCAAGGATGACCTCATAGGCCACAAGATCTCAAAGTCATCCACATTTCCAAGGCTGCCACCAAGCCACTCACCGATCCCTGCTCTGGCCACGAGAATGGCTTCCCCAGAGAACATCTAGGTGGGAGATAGGAGATCAATGCTAGGAAGGACTCAGTTCCCATGCTCCCCGATCATTGAGCCCGTGCAAGACCCGAGGCCTTCCTGTTCTTGGAATTCAACAGCCAGCACTTCCCACGGGATAGCAACCTGCGTCGACATAGGCTCAGGGTGTGGAGAATGCTTGTGCCGAAGCGGAGCGTGTCTGTATGAGGCCTTGTGTAGCAGGTGTGGTTTCTTCATTCTGATCTTGGTGATTATTATTGTTGCGGTGAAATTTGTGGGCATCATCTGAACCCAGCACCGGTGGCTCACGCCTGTCATCCAAGCAACTTCGGAGGCTGAGATCTGAGGCTTGTGGTTCAAAGCCAACCCTGAGCTAGTGAAAGGCTGTGAGACTCTCATCTCCAATGAACCACGCAGAAAACCAGAAGTGGTGCTGTGGCTCAAGCGGTAGAGCGCTCACCTTGAGCTGAAGAGCTGAGGGACAGCGCCCAGGCCCAGAGTTCAAGCCCCACAACTAGCCAAAAAAAAAAAAAAAAAGAACTTTTAAAAAATTAGAATAAAATATACAGCCACAAAAAAAAAATAAATTAACCTAATGCAAAAATGAAAAATTAATGTCTAGCCTCCTTCCTTCCTTCCCTCCCTCCCTCCCTTCCTCCCTTCTTTCTTTCTTTCTTCTTTCTTTCCTTCTTCCTTCCTTCCTTCCTTTCTTTCTTTCTTTCTTTCTTTCTTTCTTTCTTTCTTTCTTTCTTTCTTTCTTTCTTTCTTTCTTTCTTTCTTTCTTTCTTTCTTTCTGTCTGTCTTTCCTTCTTTCTTTCGAACCACTTGAGCCACAGCACCACTTCTGGTTTTCTGGTGTTTCATTGGAGACAAGAATCTCACAGAGTTTCCTGCCCAGGCTGGCTTTGAACGTGATCCTCAGCTCTCAGCCTCCTGCGTAGTTAGGATGACAGGTGTGAGCCACCGGCACCGGGCTTGAATCACAACTATAGTAACAACTTAAATAATGTTTTTTTAAAAAGGAAGAGAAAGATGGAGCAAAAAAAATAAAACGTAACTTACTGAAATATAATTTCACAACTATAGAAACAGCTTATATAAACCTAAGGATCATTATTCCCAATAAAAGAAATACTGCTTAAAACAATTGCGTTTGTATGTTTATTTATTTTGTGGCTGTACTAGGGCTTGAACTCAGGGCCTGTGTACTGTCCCTTAGCTTTTTTGCTCCAAGCTAAGCACTGTACCACTTGAGTCTCAGCTCCACTCCTGGCTTTTTTTCCCCCCACTGGTTAATGGAAGAGAAGACTCCTAACAGACCTTCCTGTCTGGGTTTGCCTCCAATCTAGAACCTCAAGATGTCAACATCTTTATTTTGGTGTTTTTGTTTTTGTCAGTCGTGGGGCTTGAACTCTGGGCCTGGGCACTGTCCCTGAGCTCTTCAGCTCAAAGCTAGCACTCTACCACTTGAACCACAGTGCTACTTCCGGTTTCCTGAGTGGTTTGTCGAAGATAAGCATCTCACAGACTTTCCAGCCTGGGCTGGCTTTGAATCGCGATCCTCAGATCTCAGCCTCCTGAGTAGCTAGGATGACAGGCGTGAGCCACTGGTACCCAGCCTGCCTATTTGTTCTTGTGACAGTGATCTAGCTTTGGTCATGGTTTCTATATGACGTGCTGTACACACAAAGATTGCAAGCTCCAGATGACTCTGAGTGGTATGTTGTAGCTTTGTCGTAAGGGATGTCAAAGTTGAAGGCTGAAAGAGACTTTGGTAGTATAGCTAGGAACAGATTCTGCAAACGAAAGGAAAGAAAATACACTTAAGCAACCATTCACCCTTTTACGATGAAATGTGTCTACACGGCCACCACCTGTAAAACACTGAGGATTGCCACTTGATCTTTCCAATACAGAGATTATTTCTGGCTAATCAATAAAGCATTTATCAGCCTGAAGTGGCTCATGAGGCAGGGTGACTCATGCCTGTCATCCTAGCTACTCAGGAGGCTGAGATCTGAGGATCACAGTTGAAAGCCAGCCTGGGCAGGAAAGTCCATCAGACTCTTATCTTCAATGAACCACCAGAAAGCCGGAAGTGGAGCTGTGGCTCAAAGTGGTAGAGCACCTGCCTTGAGCTGAAAAGTTCAGGGACAGCACCCAGGCCCTGAGTTCGAGCCCCAACACCAACCAGTAACCAACCAATGAAACAAACAAGTACAAGCGACTCACCTCTTTCTCTAAGATCTTCAATATAGGCTCTCATAACTTCCTTATCAAAGTGTTGGCGATCCCGTTCACTTTCCATAATTTCACTGCCATCCTGGCATTGGGTTTTATCAATCGGATTATCCATAAGGCTGATGAATCTGCTCGAGAAATTACAGGACGTAAGTTTCAACGGTGTAAGTTTGACTACATGGTTCTTCCTAGAGGAAGCCAATTTGAGGGTGGGCACTGGTGGCTCACGCCTGTCATCCTAGCTATTCAGAAGGCCGAGATCTGAGGATCCCAGTTCAAGGCCAGCCCAGGCAGGAAAGTAGCACTAATTAACCACCTGAAAACTGGATGGGGAGCTTTGGTTCAAAGTGACCAAGCAGTAGCCTTGAGCCAAAGTGCTCAGGTACAGTGCCCAGGCTCTGAGTTCAAGCTCCAAGACTAGCACCAAAAAAACAAAAACAAAAAACAGGGGTGCAGTGGGAGGGGAAAAAATGAGAGTTATATAGACTTATCTAGCTATAGAGAGCCTCAGAGTATAATACCTACATTTAATCACTTTCCAATTTGTGCATGCATCATGCCAGTACTAGGACTTGAACTCAGGGCCTTAGCCCTGATCCTTATCTCAGGCTCCAGGATTACTAGCTCACCTCCAGTCGAATCACTTTATTTATTTATTTATTCAGCCAGTCCCAGGGCTTGAAATTAGGGCCTGGACACTGCCTTAAGCCTCTTTTGCTCAAGGCTAGCACTCTACCACTTGAGCCACAGCGCCACCTGCGGCTTTTTCTGTGTATGTGGTACTAAGGAATCGAACCCAGGGCTTCATGCATGCTAGGCAAGCACTCTACCACTGAGCCACCTTCCCAGCCCCTCTACTCACTTTAAAGGTGTCGAGGAATCACAAAGGGCGGTCGGGAACTCCACCAAATGGTCCCCACTGACCACCAGCAAGGCAAGCTTCTTCAGATTAAGCAAGGCGTGAGGAAGGTAGGTGAGTTTGTTCTTGTATAACAAGAAGCTGTGCAGTTCCTCCAGTCTGGGGAAAAGAGAACAGGGTCAGAACATGGACATTTCACTCCCTGGGAATTACAAATCACACTCCGTTGGGAAGTCCTGTTTAATCTACTTCACCTATGTCTCCTATTTTTATTTATATAAGAAGCAAACTTACAGGCTGGGAAGGTGGCTTAGCGGTAGAGTGCTTGCCTAGCATGCATGAAGCCCTGGGTTCGATTCCTCAGTACCACATACACAGAAAAAGCCAGAAGTGGTGCTGTGGTTCAAGTGGTAGGGCACCCAGGCCCAGAGTTCAAGCCCCATGACCGACAAAAATTTAAAAAAGTAAAAAGTAAATAAAATACAAAAGAAACAAAGCTTTGTGTTCAAAACCCTAGGACCAATACACACACACACACACACACACACACACACACACACACTCACACACAATACAATTGTTCACATTGATATTAAAACATAACAATATTTTCTATTGTAGAAGTAATAGCTTTTCTACTTTTGTGGTTCCATTTTATGAGAGAAAAAAGCAAGGCAAAGTTAGACAGTGGCGATGTTCTATTCAAATTCAGGAGCAAGGAGATACATGAGTCAGATTGTGTATTGTCTTATTCTTTCATTTCCCAGAAACTAGACATTCTGGAAAATTAGTTGTTTTCAGAGAATATTCATTTAATACACATCTTTTAAAATGCTGCTAGTGTCAGATACCAGTGGCTCATGCCTGTAATCCTAGCGACTCAGGAGACTGAGATCTGTTGGATCAAGGTCCAAAGGCAGCCCAGCTACCTTATCTCCAATTAACCAGCAAAGAGTGGAGCTGTGGCTCAAGTGGTAGAGCACCAGCCTTGAGCAAAATAAAGCTCAGGGACAGTACCCAGGCTCTGAGTTCAAGTCCTTGTACCAGCATATACAAACAACAACAACAACAAAAATTCACCAAGTCAGGCACCAGTGACTCACACCTATTCTCCTAGCTCTTCAGGAGGCTGAGATCTAAGGATCACGGTTCAAAGCCAGCCTAGGCAGGAAAGTCTGTGACACTCTGATCTCCAATGAACCACACCCAAAAAAGTAGTAGAGCACTAGCTTTGAGGGGAAAAAATAAAGTTCAGGGAAAACACCAAGGCCCTAAGTTCAAGCCCCAGGATTGGCACAAAAAAAGTAAAAACAAGGGCTGGGAAGGTAGCTTAGCGGTAGAGTGCTT